AGTTAGGTGCTCACAATTTAACGTACTAATTTCCAAATGTAGAAACTGAATTCGAATGACAACAATTTCATTGTGCTTCTTGTTCCTTTTACGTGACAACAATTTCATTATGCTTCTTGGTCCTTTTACATGACAACAATTTCATTATGCTTCTTGGTCCTTTTACATGACAACAATTTCATTATGCTTCTTGTTCCTTTTACATGACAACAATTTCATTATGCTTCTTGTTCCTTTTACATGACAACAATTTCATTGTGCTTCTTGTTCCTTTTACATGACAACAATTTCATTGTGCTTCTTGTTCCTTTTACATGACAACAATTTCATTATGCTTCTTGTTCCTTTTACATGACAACAATTTCATTATGCTTCTTGTTCCTTTTACATGACAACAATTTCATTATGCTCTTTCTTGTTCCTTTTACATGACAACAATTTCATTATGCTTCTTGTTATACATGACAACAATTTCATTTATGCTTCTTTCCTTTTTACATGACAACAATTTCATTATGCTTCTTGTTCCTTTTACATGACAACAATTTCATTGTGCTTCTTGTTCCTTTTACATGACAACAATTTCATTATGCTTGCTTGTTCCTTTTACATGACAACAATTTCATTATGCTTCTTGTTCCTTTTACATGACAACAATTTCATTGTGCTTCTTGTTCCTTTTTACATGACAACAATTTCATTTATGCTTCTTGTTCCTTTTACATGACAACAATTTTGACAACAATTTCATTGTGCTTCTTGTTCCTTTTACATGACAACAATTTCATTGTGCTTTCCTTTACATGACAACAATTTCATTGTGCTTCTTGTTCCTTTTACATGACAACAATTTCATTATGCTTCTTGTTCCTTTTACATGACAACAATTTCATTGTGCTTCTTGTTCCTTTACATGACAACAATTTCATTATGCTTCTTGTTCCTTTTACATGACAACAATTTCATTTATGCTTCTTGTTCCTTTTACATGACAACAATTTCTTGTTCCTTTTACATGACAACAATTTCATTATGCTTCTTGTTCCTTTTACATGACAACAATTTCATTGTGCTTCTTGTTCCTTTTACATGACAACAATTTCATTGTGCTTCTTGTTCCTTTTACATGACAACAATTTCATTATGCTTCTTGTTCCTTTTACATGACAACAATTTCATTATGCTTCTTGTTCCTTTTACATGACAACAATTTCATTATGCTTCTTGGTTCCTTTTACATGACAACAATTTCATTATGCTTCTTGTTCCTTTTACATATTTCATTGTGCTTCTTGTTCCTTTTACATGACAACAATTTCATTGTGCTTCTTGTTCCTTTTACATGACAACAATTTCATTATGCTTCTTGTTCCTTTTACATGACAACAATTTCATTTATGCTTCTTGTTCCTTTTACATGACAACAATTTCATTATGCTTCTTGTTCCTTTTACATGACAACAATTTCATTATGCTTCTTGTTCCTTTTACATGACAACAATTTCATTGTGCTTCTTGTTCCTTTTACATGACAACAATTTCATTATGCTTCTTGTTCCTTTTACATGACAACAATTTCATTATGCTTCTTGTTCCTTTTACATGACAACAATTTCATTATGCTTCTTGTTCCTTTTACATGACAACAATTTCATTGTGCTTCTTGTTCCTTTTACATGACAACAATTTCATTATGCTTCTTGTTCCTTTTACATGACAACAATTTCATTATGCTTCTTGTTCCTTTTACATGACAACAATTTCATTATTGTGCTTCTTGTTCCTTTTACATGACAACAATTTCATTATGCTTCTTGTTCCTTTTACATGACAACAATTTCATTATGCTTCTTGTTCCTTTTACATGACAACAATTTCATTATGCTTCTTGTTCCTTTTACATGACAACAATTTCATTATGCTTCTTGTTCCTTTTACATGACAACAATTTCATTATGCTTCTTGGTCCTTTTACATGACAACAATTTCATTATGCTTCTTGTTCCTTTTACATGACAACAATTTCATTGTGCTTCTTGTTCCTTTTACATGACAACAATTTCATTATGCTTCTTGTTCCTATTACAAGTTATATGAAAGGAACTAGTTCCATGTCCGTCAAACATAACAGTATTCCCTGACCAAGTTGTCTGCATTTATCGATGGTATCTCCAGCATATAAACTGACGTACAAAAGAAAGTACACGGCTGGAGATTTGGTTGGTTGTTTAACGCCGCACCCAGCAATATCCCAGCGACATCATAGTGGTTTGTAAATAATCGAGTCTCGTACAGAAAATACACCGACTGACATCATGAGCATCGATCTATGCAATTGGGATACGATGACATGCGTCAACCAAGTCAGTGAGCCAGACTACCGATCCTGTTAGTCCCCTTTTACCACAAGCATGGGTTGCTGAAGACCAATTTTAACCAGGATCCTTCACGGGTATTGGCATTTTGGGGATTATTTAACAAAATAAAAATAAACAAATATTTCGAAAAGTGTAATGATAGTGACTGACGAGTCAAAAACGTTATTGTATCCCAACACGAGCTGAATTCGACGTTCTGGTGATTTCGACGATTGCATTGCACGCGCTATATCGGGGGAGTACGTGTGCGATCGGAGTGCACAAACAGTTTCACTGGTAGGGCGGGTGCCAAGTCGCTGTCGTGAGAAGTTTTATTGATAATGGAAATCGGGAAGTAAAGTTATATAAAAAGCAAACAAACATCAATATTATTTACCCGAGATCGTTAATACCACTTACGATGCAAAATCAGTTCCCTTTATAGCAAAAAATAGCAAGCGAAAATTCAGTTAGATCAGTCGTCTGCTGGTGACAGGCAAAATATAAATAGGAAGGCACGTGATCACAACACTCCTTCGCAGTGCGGAGCAAAAAGTATGGCTCATCGTCGAAAACCCATACAAAATACCTGGATGTTACGAGCGGCAACAGTTTCGCCGATACGATTTCATCAACGCTATTTTTGTAGGGAACACTTGATATTTTTGTGTGAAATAGATGAATATATCCTTTATCACTCAAGGTTACTAAAATACAAACTTTAAATGATATTACAGATAAAAAATACGTTTTTGTCTTACATCGTCGAAAACCCCTGACACCGGGATACATATTGCCAAAACATCACAGATGTCCTTAAAAGGCTGTGAGTAGAATATCATGAAAATCATAATTTTGTTGAATCGTACGTACATGTTATGTACTAACAGTATACTACAGTCGTTTGAGATTGTTAGTGGTATACCTGTTAAAGGTATGTACGAGACATTTGAATGTCTCAGATGGGGACCTCGAACCGCCATATTGCTAGAACGTTCACCTGTATAAGGTAGATCATCATCAGACTGAAAACACCTGACATCCAGACGGGTCAGACATCGAACATTCCCAGAACGGGAAGACAAGGAGTGTCTCACAAGATGATCATCACCTGCGTATTCACCATGTGCGCATGTCACGTCATCAGCATCAACAGCGTTGGGTCACCGAATCAGCATGAAGATGCATGCAGTCGGCATCCGGGCCATACCGGGACCTGTTATTATCTCGTCAACATCAACTGAACCCTCAAAACTGGGCGGGTGACTTGAGACGCTGGCTTCGTCACAACTTGGTACAAGTTTGCAGTGTTTTTTGCAACATGCAGAAATGTTCGTGACTTGTAAGTCAGAATCAAAACCTCTTTAAAGAAATCTTGGAAAATGATCCCAACGCATATTTTGTACATCAGGTTATTTAAACACAAGTCGTACCGACGTAAAATACATAAAACCTAACTGATCATAATACAACAAATTTTGAATAGCTTGCGGACAAATATCCATGAAAAGATCGTGTTTGCTGAATGAATAGAGACATCGCTTATTCACTAACACCATTGCAGTGAAGTTTTCTCAACAGGACACGCGTCACGTCTTGTAATTGAGACACGTATCGCTATTAACAGGCTGTTCCTAGGACACATGGTGGTGAATACACAATGGCTTGCTAAAGTGAGTGAATGAGTATGATTTTACGCCGCTTTCAGCAATATTCCAGCAATATCACGGCGGGGGACACCAGAAATGGGCTTCACACAATGTACCCATGTGGATATCGAACCCGGGTCTTCGGCGTGACGAGCGAACGCTTGAACCACTAGGCTGCCTCACCGTCCCGGCTTGCAAAAGACATGTATAGTTACAATGTATGAAAAATGACATGAGGCTACAGATACATATGCGATATATACACAACAGTCATATCACAGGTGATTGTTACATTAACTGATAAAGACATCAGTCTTTTATTGCAGCGAAATCCTTTACTTATAGTATTTACAGTAAATGAACATGACTGTGTTGACAAATAATCCAAGGGGGACAACTTCTTGACTGGTATTCACGATGTGGAAAAGATATATACATTGAGATTGAACATTCCGGACAAACAGAAATAAATTCTTTCAGACTGTTATATTTAATATTTCATTAAATGGGATCATAACAATTAGAATGCACAAAAATATGTATCAACAATTTAATGCACGCCCGATGGGTGACACAGGGACGGGTGTAAATATTAGGTGACACAGAGGTGGTATTCATCAGTGAATGAGTTTAATTTTACGCCGCCTTTAGCAATAAAGTGTGTGGGGGTGGGGTGGGGTGGGGGAGACACACGAAATGGGGTTCACACATTGTACCCACTGTATTCATCAACCTACATGTTAACTAAATGAATAATACATATACTTACTACCCCCTTTGACATTTAACATATTAAACACGGTACGACACGCCGTCTATTTACATTTATTCACATACAGTTCATTGTAAATTGTTCGCTTCGTTAAATTCATTGGTGTTATATGGAGACTTGTTGATTTATTGACCATATGTACTCTTGAAACATTATTCATCTATTTAATTGCGATATTATTTAAATACGTTATTTTTGTCACCGTTTCAGGACTCAGGAAATGATGACGAACTCAGTCAGATGAAACATAGCCCACAGGCATTCGATACCACTCGTACCTTTCCGTAACCTTGAAATAGGCTCGTCCCGGAAAGGCCCGAGCTGGTCACGACTCTATCGAAGCATGACGACCATATACATGCTTACACGCTCGTCAAACGTCGACCTGTTTTAAGTGTGTTCCACGTGTTGTCTCGCACAGGTAAGTTAACGTGTTTACATCACGCCTACTTTTAGTTACACTATATTTTGGTATGTTGTGTAGTTTGGTCACGTTGAAACTATGCGTACCGATGCCGTCTTCCATTCAATCACGACAGAAGTGTTGTATATTCACTGAAGCGTGTCCGACCCGGATCTGTATCTTTATGTCAGTGGAATGTGAGGAGCGTATGGTTTTGCAAATTTATTTCTTAACAAGGTCTTAAACGTACTTATGGGAACACGAATAATATCACAGGTAGACCTGTAATGGGACAGAAACAGGTCAACGGCGACGACGCACAGAGCTAAGCTACAAAACAGGATATAAGATTGTCTTGTTTCTACACCCGGAACAATATCCAATGGCTACACAATGACGTCATATATCAGGCTTATACTCCAACTGTACAATAGACTAAATATAGGCTCATTCAAAACTAGGGAATTCCGGTCCAGCTTGTCTGCCTCACATTAATGGAATGTATAATTATTTTCACTTCCGAATCTAATGTTATGCTACTGTCCTAGAAGATCAATCAGGAAGTTGTCTATCCATAAAATTGTTTCTCTTCATCATGTCAGCTTCTAAATGCCACTTGAAGAAGTCCTAGAAGCAAATCTACATTTTCCACAAGATATGAATATCCTTTTTCACTCTGTGTCTTATTCTACTGAAATGTAGCCTCAAATTCCAAATTACATATTTTCAGAGACGTGACTCGCATTGTTCGGTATACATTCCAGTTTTCTTTTAAAAATATGTCTTAAAGAACAAATAAACTTTTGTTTTTTGTACTCTTTGGCCCCTGAACACTTAAATGTATGTTTATTATGTAGGAAATGAAGGGTTTTTAGAAGAAGAAGAAGAAGGATCTATTTTGTATAAAGGCCATACGACCCATCGTACAAGGTGCTACAATAGTGATTTGGGTTACCATTTTCATGCAACAACGCTAACAGGAGCAGAATAAACATGTTCTAAGAACTTGACAAAATTATTTATGATGTTAATTTCGGATGATGTACATATGCTGCGGAGTGAATAATAATATCCATGGAATGTAACGCCGACGCATATCCTCATAGCGTTTACAAATATAGACAATATGGATTTCATCCTCAATACTTTTACAGTGTTTACATAACACAATATCATCATTACAGGAGGCAGTACCACTTCTAATATATTTGATACCTAGTGCATTACACCCTGATCTAAATAATGTGAACAGACGCTTGCACTTATTACTTATGTTCAATGATAAATATTTTTTCACAGGTCAACAGAGATTTATGGGACTTATAGAAAGACAGCGAAGGAACATCTAGGGACAAATGCCACTCTTGCATAGAGCAGTTGTTAATTCTTTAAGTAAACATACATAGAAACATTTTTGCATCACCGACATCTTGTGAAATCCAAGCAGTACCAAATCCAAGGTAAAATAACAAATCACTGACATGCCGAGCCCATGTGGGACGTTTCCTAAATTCAACAGATAATAAAAATTGATAACATTGATATGGATATCTACTTTGATGCATTCTTAATAATCTTAGCCAGTATTTAATACATTTGACATAATAAACATTGCTTAAGGGTGCCCTCCCACATTCCCCATATGCAACAGCATTAGATGATCTGTAACTAATCTGAAGTAAAAATTTGCAAAAATTTCGAAGGACAATTTCAATACTTTCTCTCTTTTTAAAACCCCATATCTCAGCACCATATGTTAGAATTGGTAAAATCTTTTTATCAAAAATATATAATCCTTCTGAGAGTGACATATCATATCGTCTTATAAATGACTTGATCGGCCACAGTGCCCTATTAGCTTGATCAGATAATGTTTTACATGCCCTAGTCCAAATCAATTTGGGAGTTATCATAAGTCCTAGATATTTATAAATATTGACAGTTTCCATTCGAATGCCATTATAGAACCATTTTTCGTGTTTGGACAAGGGTCCACCCATTTTAAAAATAATTATTTTACTTTTATCAGTATTAATATCCATGTCCCATTTATGGGGGAATACATATGTAGGACGTCAAGGCGGCGCTGTAATCTAACAACAGTATCAGCTATCAAAACCAAATCATCTGCAAATAACAGAGCAATAATAATCAACATATTTTCGGAGATAAATATACCATCATCAAACTTATTTTCTAAGGTCAATACAAGCTCATTAATATATAAAGAAAATAATACCGGACTAAGGACACGGCCTTGCCGAGCCCCACAGGCGCTATCAAAATATTCAGTTACTTTCTTACCATACTCATAGGTTACAGTGGCCTTGACATTAGTATACATATTTTTAATCAACTTGAATTTTTTTCCAATGATCCCATTTTGCAGAAGAACATACAGTAATTTAAACCTATTCACCATGTCAAATGCCTTGCGAAAATCTATGTATGCAATATCTTCCCATTTTTACGTGTTAAATACTTCTGAATGATTGTCTGCAGAATAAAGATACTGTCCACAGTCTTAAATCCACCCTGATATTCTCCAATTATCTCACGAAGTTGCAAAAAGTACTCCCAATCTTTTGTTTAGAACCGAAACAAACATTTTGCTCATTACATTCAGAAGAGAGATTCCCCTATAATTATTCGGGTCAGATCTACTACCTTTCTTATGTAGTGGGATAATAATGCCAGTTGACCCGGAATTTGGCCAAGAGCCGGATAAGAGTATCTTGTTGAACAGTAATACTAAAGAGGGAACTATTATATGTTCAGAAACTTTGAAAAACTCTGCGGGAATACCATCATCGCCTGGGGATTTGTCTGATAGCATTTATTACATCCTGATCTGTAAAGTCACATGATAGAATATCATCGTCATTGATACAATCAACACATGTATTAAAGTCATGTTTATCAACATATGATTTGGCATCTTCTGAAAAGTTGCCATCTTCTGGCAACGTTGGGTTTAACAAGTCCTTAAAGTATTAAGCCCATGTTGATGGCGTTACACTTTCTTCCATGGCGCGAGTTGTGGTATATTGTTTCACAAGTCTCCAAAATGCTGAGCAGTCACTGGAACAAGCTGCATGGTGTATTTTTTGAGTAATGGAACGTTTTTAGTTTTACAAGTCTGTTTGAACTGAGATCTAATGTCTTTGTATCTATTCAGATTCTCAAATGTTGTTGTTTTTCTAAACACATTAAGCAGTTTATACTTTTCATGTTTAAGAGTCTGACACTGTTGACCAAACCATTCTGGTTGTTGTTTAGCGTTGATGGTTTTGGGTTGTCTACATTCCATATCTCGCCCACAGGTTTGCAGAATGCGCTGCAGTATGTATAATGCTTTGTCAGTGTTGACATGTAGACTGCTTATAAAGTCCTGAAACAAATCACTTGTATCAGCATTTTGCAGGTTATCAAGATATAATTGTGATTTTTCATTTTTCCATTTAAATTTATTTCTGTTACTACAATGAAATTACTTATCATCGGCTGACCTGTCCACATCGAACAGGGATGAGATTGTGGTTGTGTGTGGGAGATGGTCAGACTCCGTGCGAGAAACACTCTTGAAGTCCTCCACATAACGGTATAACGATGCTGACACTGCAATGTAGTCCGGTGTGCTACAACCGGTAGGACCAATATATGTATAGTCCCCCTCATCTGAGAATCTGTCATTTAACAGGTACCAACCAAAAGTTTTGCATAAGTCTAGTAATTCTCTTCCATAGTTATTTACAACAAGATCTTTATTTTTACGATTTGGGTACACAGGTGGGGCATCAAGTTCCTCGTATGTATCCTCCTCCAAAGGTAGAAAATCAACGCTATCATCAACAATATAGTCTAATTCAGTGCCAGTTCTGCCATTAAAATCGCCACAAATAATGAAGTCAGTATCTGGAAATTCGTTTTTCATTGCCACAATGTAACTTTCCAGTCGCTCAACCCCATCGTTACTGTTTTTCCGGTGTTATATAGACACAACCCAGAATAAGCCTTTTGCCTGACCGTATACGCCGAATGGAAACAAGAAACACGGCGTCCACCCACTCCTCGTGTACACGATGGAAAAAAGATGAAATACTGTCACCCATAAGTATAGCAACGCCACCGCTGAACCGGCCGATGTTGTTTACCTTAGGGCGAACTGATTGAAATGCTGTATAACAGGCAATTAAGTTACTAAAGTCATCATAACATTTGGCCCAGGTTTCGGTCAAACATGATATCATATACTGAACAGCAAAAGAAACGCAAGTTTCGAAAAAATGAAATCTCATGAAGGTAAGCGTTCATGTTTATGGAACGTTCATGGTAAAGTGACGTAATGATCCCAGATGAGATGATGTCATGTAATTTGACGTCCATACGAAACATTCGCTCAAACAGACCAACAGTGCAGCAAAACCATAATTTTAGCAACGAGTGACAACTCATGCGCAAGATCGGTTCATCCGGGTCACTCATCAAAGGAACCGAACTCAAGCAGCAACAGTAACAGCAGCCTTTGTTCTTGGGTCCCTAAGGGGAGCGGTGCCAAGCGATACGATTAGGAGTCGTCTTCGGGCTGCTGGAATCCACTGCCGAAGGCCATATGTGGGTCCAATTTTGGCACGTCAACAACGCCAGCGACGTTTGCAGCCCTCACACAGCAGGGGTGTCGATGGATTATCTGGTTCAGAACAACATTAACGTCTCTTTCCCCGGATATAGCTCCCATTGAGCATTCGGGGACGAAATTGGACGGAGGATTGCTGCAGGTAGACAGCCACTCACACTTGCACAGTTGGAATAAAGATTGGTGTTTGAGCGGAACCAGTTGCCTCAGGCATTCTTTCAGACTCTAGTGACCTCAATGAGGCCATGTTGCACGGCATGTGTGCAAGCTCAGGGTGACTATATGCGCTACTAAAGAGATTGTCACTTTTCGCGTTCAGGGGTATCTCCATTTGACGGACTGTGATCAATTTGAACTTATTGCAATTCAATGTCAACAGCAAGTTTTAGCTGTTACATTGACAGTGTTTTCTATAGAATGAATGATTAGACATAATTTGGGTTGTCTTCTATTCAAAAACTTGACAAAAAGCCAGACTTGCGTTTCTTTTGCTGTTCAGTATATTTAGAGATAAAGTCACAAAAGTCTGGATGGATTACTTTACTATATAGGCCGTTTACATTCCAACACAATAGGCTTATTGGTTGCAGAGAATGTGATGCATCCGGAATATCCGGTGTCAATATCAGTCACAGGGTCAAGGCCCACCTGCTACAAAACACTGTGGTTTGGGTCAGCATGACCAAGCGAGTGTGGTCCGTGTATATCTCCGGCGAATCTGACTAGAGCCCCAGAACTATCCGGCATGAACTTAACATCATCTATAACTAGAAAGTCGCCTTTGATGTATGCTGTTTTGCCTTGGTCCCTAGCTTGTTTGAGGTGGGGTATGAGTTGTTTTCTTCTGAGTCTTGCTTTTGGAGAGAAGTCCTCAGATAATCTGAATGTTGTGTTGCCTTTCAGCTCTGCCTTAGCCTTGTTGAGGACGTTAAGTTTGTCGTCTCTGGAGACGAACTTCATCATGATAGGCGGATTTCCCCCCTGTTCACGCTTTGTGCCCAATCTGTGGACAGTGTCGAAAAGAATATCATCTCCATTTTGTAGACATAACGTATCCTTCAGAAATGAATAAACTTTCCTTTTAGATTCACCAGACTCTTCCTACCGTCCTTCCATTTCCATTCCAAATAAAATCAAATTATTTCTTCTGGAGTAGTTCTCACTTTTATCAAGTTTGGCCTCTAAAGCAGTGGTAGTGTTTGCCTGAGACGTCACTATCTTCCTAAGATCTCTATTTTCGGTTTGAATTTGTTCCAACTGATTATTTAATTTGGCATTGTTTTGGTCCACTGTATTTTTCAGGGTTGTTAGCATTTCACTCATGGACGCTATGGTCTTATTCAACGCATCAAATTGGCCAGTCAGTGCTTTTATAGACTCACTCACGCTGTTGTCCGCCTCGGTGTCCGGCTGGGATCCCCTCCCCCTTGTGTTGGGACCGGGTCCCGGGTTGGACTCGATGTCACCCGACAACAGAAGCTGCCATCTTGCATCAAATGTAAACATTGTAGAGTCCGTGCAACTCATCTCGCACGTGCACATGCTTGAAATTTCTTGACAATAATTAAAATTGTCTGTGCTGGGTAAATTAGAGAAAATATGTTCGGGATTAACACTGTATATCAGTGGACTGTGACTCATCAGCATGACAGTTAACGTGACACCAACTGCGTACAGCCTGTAGGCCAGATCCATACCCGGAGTCCATGTTGTCTCCGACATGTACTTGCTAACATGTTCAGTTTGTCTGTGACCCCTGGGCATCTTAAAACACCCAATTCTACATCTCCAACTGTCCACGTCGATCCCCATTCTTCATTAAACGTATTGTGCCCAAGAAAAAGGCACTACAAAGGCTTGACAAAGAAAGAAAACGTATTTTTTTCTCTCCCGCGTTGTCGTCGCCGTATCTACCTATTCAGGGGCAGGTAACCAGTCGAAGAAGAGAAAAGTTTTGTGGCTTTTATTATCTTGATTTCTCAGTACGTTTTGAACTATAAATGGAAAAAACCACTTGGTTTGGAAATCGGTTTCTAAATCAGTTGTATGGAGACTATGCTACGGGGTTATTCTACTGAGGGACTTTACGTTGAGGTAAGTACAAGCACCTATTGTCCCGGATGCAGCGTCCCGGATATAGCGGCTCCTGTCGTGTCCGGCTACAACCCAGGTGTACATCCAGGTCAGTGTACCCCAGGTATACCGTACTGTATCGTATACCACAGGGTTTTAGCCACATGCACACAGACATACCTGCACGTGTGCGCGCATGTACTTACTACACCTACCATTTAATGTTAGTCTTTGAAAAGTCGAGTTTTGATAAGACAATGCTGTGATCTAATAGGGATAGGATAACATCAATCAATCTAGTTCGCGGCCCGTTAATCGCCTCTCACGAGAAGCATGGGTTGCTGAGGCCGGATCTTCAGGGGTGGCCTCAGGTGTCCAACCATACTGGTGTATTTATCTCTCAATCCTAAGGTTATTGTGATAGTACTTGTGATAGTAAACAATACATAAACTTTGAGGCTGACCATCTGCTGAACGTAAATCAAGAAGTGCGGTAGCTGTTACCGTATTTCCGCAATTTAATTATTTCTTTCGGACACTTTACAACCAGCATTTAATAGTTAACGTAATCATTCCGTGCATAGAAACTGCCCCACGTTTAATCGAGACCACGGCGTTTAACTTGTATGAGAGGCATTTAGAAGTTGGAGCACTAACCAAGGATAATAATATATGGATGAACAACTTCTTTGTCACTTGATTGATAACGGGGCGGTGGGGTAGCCTAGTGGTTAAAGCGTTGGCTCGTCACGCCGAAGACCCGGGTTCGAATCCCCACATGGGTACAATGTGTGAAGCCCATTTCTGGTGTCCCCCGCCATGATGTTGCTGGAATATTGCTAAAAGCGGCGTAAAACAAAACTCAGTCAGTCAGTTGATTGATAACGGGGTTAGAACCTACATCAAAACGTCGCTCTCACTGTAATAAAGAAGTTGTTCACTCATATAGTGTTATCCTTCCTCACGACGTTTAATCGAAGGTTTACAGCCAGTTTAAAATATGATATGCGAGGAATCCTATGCAAGGGTCTTTCATGTGAAGTACCAACAACAGAAATATACAAAGTGTAACAGGACGAACGTGAACACCGCTTAATGGCTGACACAAACACACTTCCACGATTGACGGAGCTATACTGTCTAGTTCAACCCTCAAGAAATACTTTAGGGCATTGTTGTTGTCCGATTAATGGGCTACAGGAACGCGACCCACGGTCACTTTAGATGTTGGGAGGCCAGTGAAGAGGTCAGTGCTAGGGTGAAATGGAGTTTAGGTCGTATTCAAATGAATTACAGTTGTAACGCTACGTGCGTGCACGCACGTGTGTTAGGGAGCATGTTTGTGTGCCTGCTTGCTCTAGCCTGGACATTTGTTGGCAGCATAGTGCTAGGCCACTTTCGCCGATTCGAAAGATCAGCAGGTAAGGGGTGCACCTCCGCAGTGCCGATTTGGGCAAATGAATGTTTTCAGCATTATTCCGAACTGTAAGTAAACCTCCACAAGTCTAGGCAAAGGTCACATGTCAGCATCCAATCATTGAGGTCAAATATCCAGATCACTTGTAAACTTACCGGCATCTGCAGTTCCGCTCTGATGAAACAGTTTGTATACGCTGCCTGCACCTCCCACCCCACCCCTACTGACCCAGTTGATCAAACACTGTCCTATATTCCCATATATTCTGCCACTCATGTTAACCATGATTGCTACTTTGCAGGCCATATTTCTTGACGATAGACTTTATGTTGCAGCCATGGGCATGCTGGACGAATTGCGGAAGGTGTATTCTCAGGCCATAATTGAGACACTTGTGACACCCGTCCTTGGAGCCGCAGGGGAAGTAGATGAACTGAAAGGCTTGGTATTGTCCGGCTTAGTTGATTTTGAAGATCGGGTGAAGCAGTGTGGCGAGATTGATGATGGCGGCATGGAAACGGTCGAGCTGGATTTATCTCCCTTTGAAACCTTCAAACACAGACTCCGAGATATGGAAGATTACTTGAAGCACAAGTTTAGGGAGCGTACCACGTCGAGGCAGACTTCTTTGTTCAACGGAAGTTCAAACAGTAGCGATTCAGGTTCGTTAGCTTACTCTCATTGGTAAACCTTTCCAGGACTTTGGTTGGTTAGCCAAACCGATACGTTCATATAAATAAAATTGTATTGTGTATATTTTATCATATTAATCATTATATTTATTACATATTTCAGTTTCACACAAGGCGTTTATTACTATGCTTTGTGTATAGACCCACACTGGAAATAGGCACTAGATCACGAAAGATTTCTTTGCCATGTGTATCTTTACATAGAAGGTTATTTTTCATAGTGATTTATCTATTTTCACAGTAAAAGAAAACACCCTGATATCATTGGACACATACACGTGTTCTTATGTTGAAACCAGCATATGTAATTTAAATGAGTGTTAAATAATATACAGTCGAGCACCGTTGTCTCGATATTCATGGGACCAAGAAAAACTATCGAGTTATCCGAACTTCGAGACATCCGACCAGGGCATATCATCACATATCACTATGAAAGAAAACAAAACAAAAAGTAGATTTCATGTATATATATTTGTATATACATTTTTACTCACAGAGATCGCAGTCACACACGATACAGCTCATGTTACAGTGTCCATCTTGAATGATACCTCATCTCGCCCTCAATCTCTCGATTCCACAAATCTTGTGAACGCATCTGCCGTTCTCAACTGCGATTACACAAAACCTAAGTATGTTTTGATTCGAAACTATATTCGTTATCAGTAGTGTTTAGTCGTAACAGTGAATACATCCTAAGTTATATCGAGACAACCGAGATATCGAGTTATTAGAGTTCGACACAACGGTGCTCGACTGTACTTGTAATGGTGAGGTGATATTTTTGTGAAACCGAAATGGACGGAGGGTGGTGGTGAGTGGGTGAACTTTTTGCGGGGTAGAAAGTAGTCCCAGCAAAGATGAAAACCCATTTTTCATTTGCAAACTGAAATTATACAAAAACACTCCAAGAACCCAGATACTAACAAAATGCGGATAAACTAGTGGTGTTCCGATTAATTGAAATAATCGAAGATTGGTCGAAGTGACCAAACGACCAAGCAATCGATCACATTTTCTCATAATCGAACACAAACGATTTTGGAACTGCTGGTTTAGCGTTTGAAACACTTGACGATGGAACATATCTTCGAAGTTGTCAGGGCCTGAAAACTTGTTTAATTCTTAGAAAACTCACTTCACTAACTGAAAAGTCATGACTGAATATTTCTTGAAGACTCCAGAAAGTTTATGTTCATGATATATTACTCATCACTTTAAAGTAGCAAGTTGCATCATGTTATACATATCTACAATAACAACCTTGGTAGGAAAATCTGAAAAATGACGCTAACCAATTTTTTTTCGATGATTGTTCGTTGGTAATGAAGCAATCATCAATTGTGAGATTTCAACCAATTCCCAACACTAGGATAAACCCAAATAGGAAATGAAATCTAGTGAAAGCCGCCCTTAACCAAGCCTAAATCAGGGCCCTTCTCTCTCAATATATTTGGGCAGTACAGTTCTCAACATGGTTAGCGTGTGTTGCACCAGTTCCTGATGTCCCTACTACGATTGTGATGACATATTACAAAAGTCCGGGGGTGGGACTCACTCACTCACTCACTCAACCTTTATCTCACTCTTTATCTGTCCTTAGCAGAGTCGGACACAGCGAGGCAGGCCCTCAGACAGTGCTACCCCCGTCTCGTGGAGGGCCTGAGGCTTAACGGAACGCTTCTGGACCAGTTGATCCAGGACAACTGCCTGGACGACAGTGATGTTGAGAGTATTCGCACCAAACCAACAGACAGGCGTAGAAACGAGCAGTTACTGCGACTCATCTCAACACAGGTCTCCCCGGACAAGATCGTCGATGTGTTTGTTCCAGCGTTACGGGCCGAGCAAGCTCACTTAGCGGACATGTTTTGCCATGCTTTCCAAGAAATCGGTTTCCCTGCTATAAAACAGTGTCCGTATTGCAGGCTTACTGGAACGGTTGAACCCAAAGGCGTTGCCGAAGCGTTGTATAGTAAGAACCGTATTTTGGAAAATAGTTTGCGGGACCTGATAAACCCATCCTTGTCTACCACTGAGAAGTGGAAACTGATTTTGGACTTGATACAAGACGCCACTTTCATCATTGACGCTTTAGAGAATACTTGTAGTGAGTTGTACCATGAGCTGAAGGCTCTGGACGGAACTGCGCAGATACACTGGTGCACGTGCAGCCGTGATAACGTTTCAACCATCAGCACTCCAGCTTATAACGACACCGTCAGCGTGTTTGACGGGACGCCAACTCTTACACCAAGTGTCCCTGGTAAGTGAGTGAACGGAGAGTGTTTGTGCTTCAGTCAGAGATTCATCTGATGAAAACTCCAATGGTTTACCTGTTAATACATGATTGTAAACCAAAAGTCACTGTGTTCTTTAATCTGATTGGTTGAAAAACGTGATCGAATGGTATTCGATTCCCGGAAATTTGATGCGTATTAATACATACAAACATCGCTCACACCATTGTATTGTTACGTCCTCAGCTGTGATGACGTCATTCAAATCATATTGTGACGTAAAAGTCCGAATGACGTCACAAATGAGCAGTTCCAGATGCTACCATGAGAGACAGCCGAAACGGCCGGTTGATGACATTTCACTGCTGTACCGTACACGATGTCAATGAGTGCAGACACAAAAACGAGTGTGGACCTTTTGGTTTAGTTTTGTGTTTACAATGTCGATAAACATCATGTGTTGGCCAATTTCCGGGTGTTATTGAGTATTTGAAGCACGGGAATATTCCATTTGAAACCTCCGGCTGACACCGTCGGTTCCAAATAAATTCCCGTGCTTCAAATACTCAATAACACCCGGAAATTGGCCAACACATGAGGTTTATCTCCTAACAGGAGCATATGGTACAAGTCAACATATGGAAGAATGAGAATGTGAAGCAGTTTTGGTTTCGTCTACAATAGATTCCAAAGCATATTTCTTTATAATAAGTCCAATGCTTTTGACAATATGTAAGGGCCACGCAAAAAATAAACTTTAAAATTTGTAAGGAAACTAGAGATGTTTCAGCTACGAAACGAGGTATTTTATGAAACTAAAACTATGAGCAGACAAATATTTTATATTCAGTTGAAGCATATTAATGTTTTCACGTCTTAGATGATTGATATATATATATCAAATCAAGGGATATGAAGGTATTATTGATCACAAATATGTCGTGTATATATCTTGTTGATAATATTTAGTACTGTTCTTCTATCGACAGCGTACCCAATGAAGTCATCCACTCGGGGTATATGCGCAATCATCAACAACTCCGACACCCACGCTGCTGATACCCAAAAGGTGGACGACCTCTTTACAAGACTTGGTTTCACTGTTGAAAGGATCACGAATCTGACAAAGCGACACATTGTTCATAGACTTGAGGAGATCGCATGTAGAGACCATTCCTCACACGACGCGTTTGTGTGCGCCATTCTACTCGGCGGGACTGAAAAAGACCACGTGTGTGACATCAGCATGGAGTCCGTTCACATCGCCTACCTGGTCAAGCCATTTCGGGCTCTCAGTTGCAGGACACTTGCAGGAAAGCCCAAGGTGATTTTGATACCGTATGGTTCCGGGCTCCGGCGCCAGGCAGGTCTGGTGATCAAGGAGGCTGTGCCCCATTCGCTTCTGGAGACCCGGAGGACTGTTGTGCCCGATGACGCAGACATCTTGTATGCACGTGGCACTCCTCCTGGTTATCATACCTCCCACTGCAAGACCACCGGCTCCTGGTACCTCAATAACCTCGTTGAGGTCATGGACAGCCATTCGGACACCACGGACTTCGTCACGTGCTTGGGGATGGTTAATGAAGGAGTTGGTAGAGTGGAATACACAAAGCTTGACGTCACTTACACACAGACTACACACATCATGAGTACTCTCAAGAAAGCTCTTTATTTCACGAAACGCCCAAGGTCAAGGTCAAGGTCAGTGCAAGAGGAATCTGACCATGGGCAAGAGCACAGTAATCGCTCTGATGTGGAGGCCAAACTGTGAGTGTCATTGACCACTTCCTGTGTGATGCATGAATGGAGCTGATGTGATACATCGGTGATGGATGGACGTGGTTGCAGACTGAACTCTGTGTGATTTCTGGATGAAGTTAAGGTGAACTCTGGATGAGCTGGATCAGTTAACCTCGAATTCATCATTTGTGACTTCATTATATCTGGATTACGTTGAATAGCCCTGTGTAATATCCTGATTAACCCCTTCGTGTGAATTCTGTTAACCCTAGATGACTGGCCTCTGTGTAGACATGGCGTAAACCTGGTGTGATTCGTACGTAAATTCTGTTCGATTTCTCCAGAACGAGGCTCGGGTTCTATATCCGGTGATATTCTGAGCAAAAACGAACTAAAACAGTAATTAACAAGGGAATGCTCCCAGAGCTCTCCAGATTTCTGTAATCAACATAGACCCTTTCAAAATGTTGATGATGGCCTTCAAATGATATTAACACGTATTTAAACATTATGCATGTAAATATCTTGAAAAGGACAATTTCTGAAAACAGGTCGATTTTGTTGTCGAAGGTTCCAACATTTACTTTAGTATTGCGCATTAGTATTATGTATATATGTGCAATACTCGACATGTCAGTTATGGGCGATAATATATGTTCAAGGAAAACATTACTAAAACGCCTCAAACACTTGACCTTCACTTGTTTTATTTCATTGGAGTTTGACCCTTTATAGAGGGACGGCCAAATTGTATGAATGTCGGAACGTACGAACTGCCTTTGTCAGTCACGGAGAAAAGGCGTCGTAATGCATTGGCATCAAATATGGGACTTCGAAATGACCGTCTGGACGTCACGGGAGAAGTTATTCTCGAACCCGTGGCACATACAAGTGTGGTTTTCCAAATTTGGTCGATCAGACTCAGTCGGTGATTTTAGAGAAGTATCGGATTATTGAAGTAAACATATAGATCCGTATTGACTGTCACATGTCAGGTAAAACACTGATCGAGTCTATATTTTGGATGTTCATTTCTCCCTTTCGTTCACTAGGATCGATCGAAACAAGGGTAATATTGAATGAGCTTGCAATAAAGCTGGCAATTTATGGCCAAAACGTCAGTTCATAATCAGGATCAATGGGTCAAAAGTATCAACGTTCTAAATATTCGTGCTTAGGAATTCCCAGGGATTTCGCATCTACTGTCGAAGTATACCCGTCAGCGTTTGCGTCATTTCCACAATACAATCTCATGGAAAACGTGTGAACGTCAAAATGTGTCGTACTCTCAAGCTCGGGGCGGTGGACTGGTAGACTTTTGAAACTTGGATAGTTGGACACATTTTGATTAATGGTGTTTGACTGTGTGCAAGAAGTCAAAAGCTGATCGCGTTTGCGTGTTAATGTTGATAAACCAGTCAGTGATCCAATCATGTGTTTAACATTTTGCATTGTATAATGATGATGTCAATGTTGTAAAAACAACTTTTCCACTTTGGTTTCATCCGGGGGACAAGGGTAGGGTGCTATCAGACTAATGATCTTTATCGAGGCGAGTTGGAGATTCGAAACCGCAATAAGATGATCTTGACAAGGTAATTAGTATAAGCCTCAGAACGCAGAGGCCCGTGAACCTGGTCATACATCGTCATCAGGTCACGGACACACATTGTCATCATGTCGCGAAGAAACAGAACGAGGTCACTGAGACACAGAACGAGGTCACTGAGTCACAGAGTCAAGTCATGGAGACACAGAGCCGGGTCATGGAGACACAGAACCATGTCAAACATTGTCATCATGTCACGAAGACACAGAACCAGGTCACTGAGATACAGAACCAGGTCGCGGAGACACAGAACCAGGTCACTGAGACACAGAACCAGGTCACTGAGACACAGAACCAGGTCATGGAGACACAGAATCAGGTCACTGAGATACAGAAGCAGGTCACTGAGACACAGAACCAGGTCACTGAGATACAGAAGCAGGTCACTGAGACACAGAACCAGGTCACTGAGATACAGAACCAGGTCATGGAGATACAGAACCAGGTCACTGAGATACAGAACCAGGTCACTGAGATACAGAACCTGGTCACTGAGATACAGAACCAGGTCACTGAGACAGAACCAGGTCACTGAGACACAGAACCAGGTCACTGAGACACAGAACCAGGTCACTGAGATACAGAACCAGGTCACTGAGATACAGAACCAGGGTCACTGAGACACAGAACCAGGTCAGGATACAGAACCAGGTCACTGGGTCACATGAACCAGGTCACTGAGACACAGAACCAGGTCACTGAGATACAGAACCAGGTCACTGAGATACAGAACCAGGTCACTGGAGATACAGAACCAGGTCACTGAGATACAGAACCAGGTCATGGAGATACAGAACCAGGTCACTGAGACACAGAACCAGGTCACTGAGATACAGAACCAGGTGGATGACAGAAGCAGGTCACTGAGATACACTGAGATACTGAGGATACAGAACCAGGTCACTGAGATACAGAACCAGGTCACTGAGATACAGAACCAGGTCACTGAGATACAGAACCAGGTCATGGAGACACAGAACCAGGTCACTGAGATACAGAACCAGGTCACTGAGATACAGAACCAGGTCACTGAGATACAGAACCAGGTCACTGAGATACAGAACCAGGTCACTGAGACACAGAACCAGGTCACTGAGATACAGAACCAGGTCACTGGAGATACAGAACCAGGTCACTGAGATACAGAACCAGGTCACTGAACCAGGACACAGAACCAGGTCACTGAGACACAGAACCAGGTCACAGAACCAGGAGATACAGAACCAGGTCACTGAGATACAGAACCAGGTCACTGAGATACAGAACCAGGTCACTGAGATACAGAACCAGGTCACTGAGAACAGAACCAGGTCACTGAGATACAGAACCAGGTCACTGAGATACAGAACCAGGTCACTGAGATACAGAACCAGGTCATGGAGATACAGAACCAGGTCACTGAGATACAGAACCAGGTCACTGAGATACAGAACCAGGTCACTGAGATACAGAACCAGGTCACTGAGAGAACCAGGTCACAGAACCAGGTCACTGAGATACAGAACCAGGTCACTGAGATACAGAACCAGGTCACTGAGATACAGAACCAGGTCACTGAGACACAGAACCAGGTCACTGAGATACAGAACCAGGTCACTGAGATACAGAACCAGGTCACTGAGATACAGAACCAGGTCACTGAGATACAGAACCAGGTCATGGAGACACAGAACCAGGTCACTGAGATACAGAACCAGGTCACTGAGAGACACAGAACCAGGTCACTGAGATACAGAACCAGGTCACTGAGATACAGAACCAGGTGAGATACAGAACCAGAACCAGGTCATGAGACACAGAACCAGGTCACTGAGACACAGAACCAGGTCACAGGTCACTGAGATACAGAACCAGGTCATGGAGATACAGAACCAGGTCACTGAGATACAGAACCAGGTCACTGAGATACAGAACCAGGTCACTGAGATACAGAACCAGGTCACTGAGACACAGAACCAGGTCACTGAGATACAGAACCAGGTCACTGAGATACAGAACCAGGTCACTGAGACACAGAACCAGGTCACTGAGACACAGAACCAGGTCACTGAGACAGAACCAGGTCACTGAGATACAGAACCAGGTCACTGAGATCAGGTCACTGAGATACAGAACCAGGTCACTGAGATACAGAACCAGGTCACTGAGATACAGAACCAGGTCACTGAGACAGAACCAGGTCACTGAGATACAGAACCAGGTCACTGAGATACAGAACCAGGTCACTGAGATACAGAACCAGGTCACTGAGATACAGAACCAGGTCACTGAGATACAGAACCAGGTCACTGAGATACAGAACCAGGTCACTGAGATACAGAACCAGGTCACTGAGATACAGAACCAGGTCACTGAGATACAGAACCAGGTCACTGAGATACAGAACCAGGTCACTGAGATACAGAACCAGGTCACTGAGATACAGAACCAGGTCACTGAGACAGAACCAGGTCACTGAGATACAGAACCAGGTCACTGAGATACAGAACCAGGTCACTGAGATACAGAACCAGGAACCAGGATACAGAACCACTGAGATACAGAACCAGGTCACTGAGATACAGAACCAGGTCACTGAGATACAGAACCAGGTCACTGAGACACAGAACCAGGTCACTGAGATACAGAACCAGGTCACTGAGATACAGAACCAGGTCACTGAGATACAGAACCAGGTCACTGAGATACAGAACCAGGTCACTGAGATCACAGAACCAGGTCACTGAGACTGAGATACAGAACCAGGTCACTGAGATACAGAACCAGGTCACTGAGATACAGAACCAGGTCACTGAGACACAGAACCAGGTGATGGAGACACAGAATCAGGTCACTGAGATACAGAACCAGGTCACTGAGACACAGAACCAGGTCACTGAGACACAGAACCAGGTCCTCACCTCACCTCACCTCACCTCACCTCACCTATAGGGAGTATGGGAAACCTGGTACAAACTGATGTAGAAGCTTTAGTGCGCGCCATGCTTTTCTTAGGAGACAACCAATACAGGTCTTGCTCATAAGAATGTGTCACCTGGCTGATTGTATGTCACTGTGCCCCATTGCGTGGATCGCTGGCAGGTCTGGCCCAGCCCGTTATTTACGCGATGTCGTTTAGCTAGAGCGTTGGCGCTGAAATACACCGAATATAGAAACGTGATTAATGTTTACGCACGGCTGTGCCTCGTAAAACTCATTTCACAGTGTGGATTTAATACTGGAGTACTATGACCAAAGGTTGACAATTCTAAATCGCTCCTTTGATGGGGTACCCGTTAAGATCGGGGTTAGAATTGGTCTTCAGCAACCCATGCTTGTCATAAGAGGCGACTAACGGGTGGTCAGGCTCGCTGACTTGGTTAACCAATACCATCGTATCTTAATTGTGTAATTCGATGTTCATGTTGATCACTGAATTGTCTGGTCCAGAATCGGTTATTTACAGACCGCCGCCATATAGCTGTAATATTGCTGAGTGCGGCGTTAAACAACAAACCAACCAGCCTTTGTTGGGTAATTACATTCTCCGTATCGAGTGAACGACTTGGGTTTAACACAGTATTCCAGTTATATTACAGTTTGTCAACTTATCGTCAAAGCCAGAAACAAAATCGGGGCGAGCCTGCATGATAGATTCCTGCCGTGCCTAGGGGACGCAACTGTGCACAGCCAACAGACAATTGTATGTGTATCCTCTTTTGTTACCATTCATTCAAACGCAAAGTTTGAACACAATAAGCCTGTCAGATACATCATCCTAGCCACTCTAGGAGTGAGTGAACATCGTGTTTTAAATCGCCTCTCGCGACATTCCAGGATTACCACAGCTGTTCCATACTGGCATGTACATGACTGGGTCTAAGCCAGTCGAACAAATGACTAACTTATTACTTTACATACACTAACCCAAACGAACTGTTTGTGAATATATGGTATGTCATATTTGTGGCATATCGTTATGAAATCATACACAGGGGCGTAGCTGACCAGTCAAATTTGGAGTGATTGCATTGGTTGGCAATGGCTGACGGGTGTATTATAGCACGGATGTCTCAAGCACCGTAGGGGCGGTGAGGTAGTCCCGTCACGCCGAAGACCCGGGTTCGATTCCCCGCCGTCATATTCCTAGAATATTGCTAAAAGCTGCGTAAAACTAAACTCACTCACTCAAGTACTGTAGTTGGATGAAACAACAGTGTTGACCTTGTTTGTGGTGTCATCTCGCTATCTATGGCGTGTTACCATTGTGTCTGTACCCCAATATGCCTGTCCCCTTATCAAGATACATTCACTCTCCAGTACGTTTCACGTATGGGTAAATGACACACAGATCTATCTGAACATAACTCACCTACGGCAAGACTTTGTTGAACGCCAGTCTCAAATATGCTACTTCACGTCCATATCTTTCATTTGTGTCAGTAGAATGTCACCAAACAATATACCCAGTTGGTGAAAAGAAAGTGTACACCCATTTTTGAAACGGTTGTTCCATGGTGATAAATTCGAATCGGAAGTCATAGATGTGTTTTGAGTCGATAGTTTGCAGTGCTGTGCTGATAACGTCATTGTTTTTCTTTGTGAAATCCAGTTACCAAGCGTATATTTTATTTGCCCTTCAGTTTATATTAACAAGTACTGGTAAAAAAGAAGAGTGGAACTAGGAACTGCATCGAGATTTCCTACCCCTAACAAGGTGTTCCTCGAGGAGTTGTAGTCAATGATCGAGATCCGATAACACAGGTGAACTGGGATAACTAATATGGAGAATTATACGTGTTACTTTCAACTATGTATTTAATCGACAAACAATTATTAAAAGCAAAATCAGCTGCACAACTCGTAGACCATGAGAGGTTTGCTTGAGTGGGAATTGCCACACGATATAAACGATTGAATAACTGACGAGTACAAAAATAATTAGAAACTCTTAAGGTGCTTCCAACCTATATTGGAAAATTAAATGTGAGCTACATATTTGCAGAGGAATATGGAAATATGTAACTGATAATTTTCAGTGTTTCCCCACAAAAACATAAACTAAATCATATTCCGCGCATAGATCGCCTTAAGTTTTAGAGTTAACCGGGAGCAGTACTGCAGTAAATAGGGTTTTACGAAATTGTGGACTGTTTATCCCAGTTCTGGTCGCTACAAACGTGGTCCCGCCGCGACCCCATGCCTGATGCATCGGTTCACGGCTACTTGCGGCTGCTGCTTCTGTCTTGGATGAATTCGTATCGATGTGACGAACTTTCATCATTTTCATCCTTGGTCCACCATGGACTCCCTCGAGATGGTTGTTTGACCTTGGGCAATGTGTTCCACTTTTGAACTGGACCGTGTAGTCGAGCCAGTTTACTGTGACTTATTCTCTTCTACTGATCCATCTTATTAATCGTATGTAATAGTGCATATTTATAATGTGCACAAATCCACGCTCGTAAGCATGCTCCCATCGCTACATTAAAATACGTACATACTATATACAGAAATAAGAAAAGTTACAATGGAATAGATGCATAATATGTAAAAATATTAAGAAAGGCAATTGATGACAATATTGAGTAAAGGGGTATTTATTAATTGATATTTGATTTAAAAGAGTACAGAGATTCTGAGTGTTTCAGGTCAAAGGGGAGAGAGTTCCACAAAGGGGCAGCGCTTGTACCCAACTTAACTCACACCTCCAGCCAAAAACCTCAACATCGTCGACGAGGAGTGCATCTGTTCGCGGATATCTGATTGGACTTCCAGCTTGTAGGAAATCCACTCTCGAAGTCGTGACGCAACAAGCCTTGGTAGAGCCGAAGTGATGCATCGGGAATCAGTTAGCTGCAGTCCTTATCCAGCTTTCAAAACAGATGCTTATTCCTAATATTGGCATTGCACCATCTCAAAACACACTCCCGTCATAACCTCTGTACATCATCTATGCTGTTTCCAATACCAGCACAGACTGTTGCCAGGTGGTAAAGGGCTCCCGATGCAAACACTACAAACAGATCATTGATCGTTCAATAAGAACCTGAAACTCAAAACATGGATTCCTGCGGTAAGAACTCTTGAATCAGAACCTACCCCCCCAAAAAACCTAAATCCTCTTTATGTAATCTCATCAGCTGCTCCTACAAACAAGTCTGTTGACATGCTGTACAAGGACGCCAGATGCTACATCACAGACATATTATATAGAACGCACTATCAGAACTTTGTGTTAAAACATGTATCCTGGCGGATATGGTAATGAAAAATCCGACTGCAATTGTTATTGGTGTACCTTGTTAACCATCATGTATGGCGACAGGACGTATTGACCGTGGTCGGTGTGGAAACACAAGCCAGGATGTTCAGTCAGTGTACACATTGATCCCAGTATTGACCCAAGCGTTGTATATAAGTGTCATTCGTTCAGTAAACATAAACCGCTTATTACACACAATTTTCTGGTTACGTAACCAGTGTCATACTTAGGACAAGTTGGAATATCATTACAGTAAAATCAGGCTCCGGCATTAGTTACACAAGACCGGAAGGAAAGCAGGGTGTGGACAGATTCCAGATACACAATGGCGGTCGTAACACATACTGAAATAAGTGATTGAACGAGTTTAGTTTTACGCCGCACTCAGCAATATTCAAGCTATATGGCGGCGGTCTGTAAATCATCGAGTCTGGACCAGACAATCCAGTTATCAACAATATGAGCATCCATCTGCGCAATTGGGAACCGATGATATGTGTCAACCAAGTCAGCGAGCCTGACCACCCGATCCCGTTAGTCGTCTCTTACGACAAGCATGGGCTACTGAAGATCAATATTCTAACCCGGACCTTCTCGGGTTACTGAAATAAGGATCGGTTGGCAACAGTGTGTGGAAGCATCCAAACGCATATCTTTACTCAAGTTCCCAACAACGGATTCGCTTGTTTGCCTCGTTTTACCTCGATTATTTACCTTGTATTTACCTGACTGGGCGTGATAAGCCCTCATTTATTTCACTCTCAGAGAACACTGCTCACCTGTTGTTTGATTGTCATTGTTCTCGTTGGATTAACTGAAGGGTTGCATGCCAAAACAACCTAAGTCATACGTAGGTTGTTTTGGAATAATAACAGAGGTATACGCAGCTTGAGAAGCTCTTTCCTGTGATTATAAGGTTGTTGGAGTATGTTTTACAGTTTTCGAGAAAATAGCTTTTAAAATAGGATACTCAGTGCCAAAATGACCTAAGTCAGACTTAGTTTGTTCTGTCAAGCAGTCCTTCAACTACAGGTAAACAGAGCAGAGCTAAGACAATCCAGCCCCTAACACAGGTTAGGCTCACTGACATGGATGTGAATACTGAACAACAGGACACGGCTATTTTACAGTCATATAAACTGTTTATTCACTTAAAGCAATGTGCTCTGAACCTATCCAGCGGTTTAGCTGTCAGGGAAGTACATACAATCCGACTTGCTATATGAATGTTGATATAGATATCGATAGCCATGGAGATGATATTCAGACAGAGAAACATTGCTGGCTCAGCATAGATTGTATAGCGCCGTTATATATTGAGTTAACAGCGAGCACAGAAACACGAGTGACTTGTTATACCAAGACAAATGACATAAAGGACTGACATTTGAACCCGAAACAACACATAGCTGGATAATGTAGGTTACTAATGTTTACATTTTTTGTTTTAAGTAATTTTGGTTTACAGTGATTAATCCTGATATTCTTATGCTAATCGTATGATTACAAACGTACTTTTCTTTTGATCAAATCAAACCACAAGGGGACGTGTAAATGAACTTCTCTGTTTGAAGTCGACTCGCGTCCGTTTGAGCGCTGAACAACTTGGTCTTCAAGATGTTTCATCAAAGAGTTAGTGCAGGTGATTGAATTGTTGGTATTGTAATTAAGGTATTGTATATAACGCCCTTCGGGATTTTAAGTCCAAGTAAAGGGAAAGAAAATAAATTCAAGAATCTCAAACGGTCAAAGACACTTTAACAGTGAAATTTAATCGAAGTTGAACCGAGATAAGGACATAAAGACAAAGGCCGATTGTCACTACCACAACCAGACATAACTCATTGCGAGGTAACAGAAAATATTTTCATAAATCCAAATTTAATAGAACGCTGATACTGATCTGGTCAAAACTCCAGATTATTTATTTGCAAGCGGGAATATTGACTGGTTGTTGGTAGCAACATTATGTCGAAACCATCTGATTGAAGTTTTGCATATGACAGGCCTGGATGTCCAGGGAACAGGCACACCAGGCAGCATCGATATTCCACAGACAAATATACATCTCATCATGCAACGCGGGCATGACGAGCCCTAACCGTGGATGGTTATCGAGTATTCCAACTGTTGCCGGGATGCACAGCTTGCCAACATGATGGCAAGTTTATAAGTATCGGTGATAGTCAGATACTGTCATTGAGTCTCACGTTCAGACAACTTTAAGGTTCGAGTGAGACGCTGTATCTGTGGTATTCAGATCATCCTTGGTATCAGCATGGTGAGTAGACTCACATGGGGCCCGAACTCGGAATAAGTCACGCATACATGTACATACTATCATGTCACTCTTAGAAATGTGTGGGATAGACATTTATATGTGTAAACAATTATATGTATACATGTATTCACTATCACTTACCTTTTAATTGTGTATAACCAGGGAGACTACACAATGACATGTGCACAATCTTCTCGTGTCATCATCGGGGCGGTGGAGTAGCCGAATGGTTAAAGCGTCCGCTCGAACCCAGTTTCGATTCCCCACATGGGTACAATGTGTGAAGCCTATTTTCTGGTGCCCCCCGCCGTGATATTGCTGGAATATTGCGAAAAGCGGCGTAAAACTATACTCACACCATCTGGTATCACCAGTCAAATGTTTAATTGAGAGACGTGACTTGTCTGTAACATAGGTGTCTGTTAAGGACGTATCTTGTGCGTCTGAAGGACCATTCTCATCATATAAACATATATAAAAAATGACTGAGACTGGACATGTTCCTATACCTCTCAGGTATAAAACCAGTTTCCTAATGGCACTGATTGTAGTTTTATAAACAGATGAAAGAAATATAAAAATATGTACATGAGAAACGTGTGTCTCAAATTCTTCAAGGAATCTATTCATGTTGCGTTATTTATTAGATTTATGTCCAAGGGGCAATGCTACTGTCCATATTTGGCATGGATGTAACCATGGACATTAAGAACGATAATGACAGCATTTGTTGAGCATGGCCGACGAGACACGTCACATACATGCGACCTAAGTTCCCCGGGTTCTGTATCTGTCACATCTGTGAGAACATTGATTTACAAATGACATTCAATATTACCTTAACTCATGATTGGGATATTAGACATACACATCAGCAGTGGATATGTGTACCACATTGTAGTTTGAAAGCATAGATGTACCGAAATTACTTGACTGAACCAATACAGATATGTGATCTTGATACATTCTGACGTCCGTGTGAGGAAGGCATGTTTACTGCTGTTAGAGTATGGGGTTTCGACCAACCGGGAACATTGTGAAAGGAAACTGAAGGTAAAACCAGTAATCCGGATTTCACATTAGTTTGTGTTGAAAGGAGTTGTTCTCTTCCAGAGGGAATGCTTATCAATCCACGTGGGGCAAGCCGGATGTCAAATGGGCAATGCATGCTGGGAGCTGTACTGTTTGGAGCACGGCATCCAGCCCGATGGACAGAGGCCTTCAGGAAAGGCTCTCGATGACGAATCCTTCAACACCTTCTTCAGCGAGACCGGCTCTGGAAAGCATGTACCGAGGGCCGTGTTCGTGGACCTTGAGCCAACTGTTGTAGGTGAGTCATTACCTCGTCATGAACAATATGAGTGACGGAATTATTTATCAAAAGTTGCACAGGTGGTTTATTGATGACTTGTAATTTCAGACGAGGTCCGCACCGGCACCTACCGACAGCTGTTCCATCCCCAGCAGCTAATCACCGGCAAGGAGGACGCAGCCAACAACTACGCCCGTGGCCACTACACCATCGGCAGAGAAATGATTGACGTGACCCTCGACCGGATCCGGAAGTTGGCAGATCAGTGTTCCGGTCTCCAGGGGTTTCTTGTGTTCCACAGTTTTGGGGGAGGCACCGGGTCTGGATTCACTTCCCTCCTCTTCGAGCGACTCAGTGTGGAATATGGGAAAAAGTCCAAGCTTGGATTCTGTATATACCCAGCCCCGCAGATATCAACAGCTGTGGTCGAGCCGTATAACTCCATCTTGACCACCCATACAAGTCTAGAGCACACAGACGTGTCCTTCATGGTCGACAACGAAGCCATCTATGACATCTGTCGCCGTAATCTTGACATTGAAAGGCCAACCTATACCAACCTGAACCGTCTGATTGGCCAGATTGTCAGTTCCATCACCGCCTCGCTTCGGTTCGATGGCGCTCTGAACGTGGATCTGACGGAGTTCCAGACCAACCTGGTGCCCTTCCCAAGGGTGCATTTTCCTCTGGCGAACCTTGCCCCAGTTATCTCCTCCGAGAAGGCCTACCATGAGCAACTGACTGTAGCTGACATCACCAATACTTGTTTCGAGCCTGCTAACCAGATGGTCAAGTGTGACCCCCGTCACGGCAAGTACATGGCCTGCTGTCTCCTGTACCGAGGTGACGTTGTTCCAAAAGACATCAACGCCGCTATCGCCGCCATTAAGACCAGAAGATCAATCCAGTTCGTCGACTGGTGCCCGACTGGGTTCAAGGTCGGCATCAACCATCAAGCACCAACTGTTGTCCCTGGTGGTGACCTGGCTAAGGTGAAGAGAGCCGTCTGCATGTTGGCAAACACCACTGCCATCGCAGAAGCCTGGGCACGTCTTGACCACAAGTTTGATCTAATGTACGCCAAGCGAGCCTTCGTCCACTGGTACGTGGGTGAGGGTATGGAGGAGGGAGAGTTCTCCGAGGCCCGTGAGGACTTGGCTGCCCTGGAGAAGGACTACGAGGAAGTTGGCTGTAGCACTACGGAAGATGATCAAATAGAGGGAGAAGAGTATTAACGCCAGAGTACCCTGTCCGCGCTTTTACCTAGCTTGTTACCATGGTTACTTACTATATCACTTTAAGCTTTATCAAAAACACGACACGATGATACTGTGATTGCAAAAGGATATAAAGGGCGTGTGTATTTGTTTTGAAAACGCTAAATTCGGTAAAACGTAAATATATATTTTTTTAAGTATAAGAGGAACTGTTGTAAACCATGGTTGCTGCTGCTGCTGCTTCTGCTTGAGATCTTCTCCTGAAGTTTACAACAAAGGACTAAGTTACATAATCATGATAATTTGTGGCACTTCAGTCCAACAAGAGCGTGGAAATTGGTAATCTGTTCAGAGTTGTGTCATGATCCAGTGATCATGTATACGAATCATTGTTTCAGACTCCGAATCCAGCATTTACGCTGACCATTATCATGGTGTGTAGGCACCAATGTGGTAAAGTGGTAATTGAACATTGCGTTAAACGCGGCATTAACCCCTACTTAAACTCATGCTGAAACAATCTTAGACTGAGCCCATAACGTTATTCTGTAGAACTACTGTAAGGGTAAACTCATGCTGAAACAATGTTAGACTGAGCCCACAACGTTATTCTGTAGAACTACTGTAAGGGTATAAAGAATTATAGCCAATCTGAGGCAGGTCATCAAACCATCTTACATTTATCTCGAACCTTGTGTACAATCTGAGGCAGGTCATCAAACCATGTTACATTTATCTCGAACCTTGTGTACCTGACTTTCATCTGTTCTTTGTTTATTATGCGTAGAGCTCTGATCACGAATCAGTTGAAGTTTAGCAACGTCGAGCTCGGACAGTCCTTGGATGGGTGACCGTGTTGGCAGCTTGACTCCTGAGAGTTTCTAGGACTACAGTCCTGCCCCACAACGAAGCACATGTGATACATGTGGTCTCACCCTAGGCAAGTGAGTTTGTTCAAAATTGCCTCTGTTCACCCAGCCGAAAATGGGCACCCAGTTGGATAAAGCCATGCGACTGTAACCTTCTAGCGCCTAGGGGCGGTGGGGTAGCCTATTGGTTAAAGCGTTGGCTCACGCCGAAAACCCAGGTTCGAATCCCCACATGGGTACAATGTGTGAAGCCCATTTCTGGTGTCCCCCGCCGTGATGTTGCTGGAATATTGCTAAAAGCGGCGTAAAACCAAACTCAGTCAGTCAGTTCTAGCACCTAACAGGCAGCTTGGGTTATCCGGGGTAATAATAATCAGATTCTGATTACAGCGTCCAGTGAGCAACTAGTCAGTTGGATACTAGGCGCTATATAAATGAGTTATTATTATTATTGTTATTAATTATGTACTCAGAAATATACGGCGGCGGTCTGTAAATAATCCAGAAAATCCAGTGAGCATCGATTTACGCAACTGGGATACAATTACATGTGTCAACCGACACATGCATGAACCAAGTCCGAGAGCTTGACACCCGATTCTGTTAGTTGCCTCTTTCAACAAGCATGGGTTGATGGAGACCAATTCTAACCCGGTTCTTCACGGGTACATCTGGATTACGTAGTAACAAGCTGTCCTGAACCAGTAATATATGGCAACGAAAGTGACACTTGAATCATCGAGTGGATGACTCACGATTTAACTGTAAAGGAATTGACCAGTGAAGAACTCTTAAAGCTCTGGAACATCAACAGGTCCCGGTTACAAAAAAACCTTGATACTGCCCATAACCTGAACTTCCTTCTGTCTATTCAGGATGAACTCTACTTGGCGAAATGCAATACTTCCAAACCATCCCAGTATTTATAAGGAACGCAAGAAAAAAACAATTGGATGTGAAGCTAAATCCTTTTCACAAAGGAAGGAACGAATGTGTTCACAGGTATCTTCGTGATATTGTGTTGTTGTAGTTAGAAATGATAGTCACATGATGCGAATGGTTTCGTATTGGAAAAGGTCCGATGTCTGCTATTATTCCTGTCGTGACACATGACCCTTCGCCAGTCCGACTGTCCTGTTGTGTGTGTTAATAGAAATGCATCAATATGTCAACTGGTATGTTTTGACTAATATGTGTATCAAGGCCATTTTGATCCACACTGTAGTGAAGGATCAGGGGTTTGACAAGGTAAAACACAATGGTAAGGGGGAAATAGGAAGCAAGAGATGACGACTGACAGGGACCTGTATTCCTACCTCTTTGGAATCTAAATTATTGAGAACTGAATTTGAACATTGGCACGTTTTGGACTATGACCACACCAAGATGTACGCTAATGTGTCATGCAGTCTGACTTCCTGGGATTGGATATTTTCTCTATTTGACAATGAAGAAGTAATCCACGCTTATTTATAAATTTAGCATTAGGTCATGAACCTGCTTCTTACACTGCTCTTGAAATTCGAAAACAATGTCTCATTTCATGTACGTGGTACTTCAGTACAAGGTTATTTCATAAATCTATAATTACTAAAGGTTAGTTGTTAAACATGGACAAAGGATGTAATGTTTGCTTATCTTTAGAAATTCTTTTCCTTTCTTTTATCACTGTGGGTCTAACAGTACTACCTTTCACTATATTCCTCGTCTTTTGAGAAGAGAAATTTTGTGACCTTAGAATTAAGTATAAATTCAAGAGGCAACAAGGCAACAACGATTTTTCAAAGATATTTGCAAACATTATTCCATCGAGTGTTGACGGTTTTAGTTATTCTCTATATTTCCTGTCCTTATATACCAGTATTTACTCTCAACCATCACACCCATGCTGGTAGTTGGAGTCAACGCATATGTCAGAAGAACCCATCTGTATGTCTACACGTATGTAATGTCGTGTGTTAGGGTATATACTAAGCATGGGTACTGTGTAACACAGGGCGCCGTTACCTCTGTCCAATATAAAACAGAGGCCATTGTATTTGCTCCACCTAATATTTTTCCAGAAGTGTCCAGTGGAGGGTTTCCGTATTGGAGAAGAATCTGTTCCATTTTCTCACTTTGATCTTGGCGTATACTTCGACTGATCTCTAACCATGGACGATCACATCAGCTATCTATCCAGAACTTGCCATTATAACATCAGGAACATTGGTGCTATTAGATATCTCCTACCAAGGAATGTCACTGAGACCCTCATGCGATCACTTATTGTCTCGTCTCGACTACTGCAGAGGCCCCTTTGTAGTATCACTAAATATCAATTTCAGCAAAGAGTGCAGAACACTGAAGCAAGGGTAGTGAGTAAAACTAAGCTATGAGATCACATTCAACCTGTCCTCGAATCTCTTCACTAAGCTATGAGATCACATTCAACCTGTCCTCGAATCTCTTCACTAAGCTATGAGATCACATTCAACCTGTCCTCGAATCTCTTCATTAAGCTATGAGATCACATTCAACCTGTCCTCGAATCTCTTCACTAAGCTATGAGATCACATTTAACCTGTCCTCGAATCTCTTCACTGGCTACGTGTAGAAGAGAGGATGTAGTTCAAACTTCTGCCACTGACATACCAGGCTGTTCACATCTCTCCATGCCTACAAACATCTGTCTACCAGCCTACACGAAGCCTACGCTCTGCTGATCAGTTTCACCTTTGTGTTCCTTCCTACAAGTTAATATCGTTTGGTGCCAGAACTTTACAGTATGCGTCAGCTGTACTTTGGAACTCTCTTCCCTATGATCTGACATGCTCTCCCTCACTTGACATTTTAAAGCTCATCTCAAGACCTATCTCTTTGGGAAATATTAAAATTGACTTGAACTGTTGTATGCGCTTAGGGCATGCCCATGAGGTGTGGAGATCAGCGCTATACAAGTGTCCTGATTATTATTAACATTTATTATTAACATCAAACATCTGGTGTTCTTAGGTGTGACCTAGATTTCCACCTGCACACTGAATGCGTTGATCATATAAGTACAGGTGTGTGGACCATGCATGTTATAGATGACAACTGGTGTTTACGTGCGACTTGTCTTTTCTTCGGGTCATCCAGGTAATGGTTTGCATGTAGCCGGCGCCGAGTGAGGGAGAAAGTAGTCCTTCAACATTGTAGAGAAATAGCTACCAAATTGATATAAATACCACAGTCCGCACCTCTGTACATCATATAGACAGCTACAGGTGGAACGATGAAGGCGTGGTACCGTTCAGAGGGTGGTCTTGGTACTAGGACTAACACCTTTATGGTGTTAGTTCCTACACTCCAGGTCAAACATCACTATATCAGCTGGCCTCTTGATTTCTCCTCCAATTTGTACTCGATTCTGTTTTTAAGTTTTAATGTGTCTAATCGCCTTTGAAATAAATATTTCACAATCATGCTGTTGAAAGTGTTAGCCATGTATTGCCAGGGATCACTGTATTGCAACACCGCACTATGGATTCAGTTCTCCAACTGGGCATAAGATGTTTTTGTAGTAAACCTGCTGTGACATTTGAAAAGATGTCACCACTCATTCATGACAAATGATGGGCGTATAACCGATGAATACTGTGGAATGCCTGGATGCCCTCGTCTGGTATGCATACAACCAACCGTGTGGTGTGATAATATGCAGTATGGGATATAGCTGGTAAGAGACAATCATGCAAGCCGTTTTGGACACAGTTAATATGAACAAGTTGTGGCTTTCTGAAGTCATGCTGTCCCTGGAAGTAACCGGGTGATCGGAACTCCAAACTGAACATCCTGGTTCCCCCACACTATACATACATCAAATACAAGGCCTCAGCGTGACGAGCCAACTCTTTCTATTAACAGCAAAGCTCCCACAACCCCGACCCTCCGATATTCCAACGAAACACACAGTCGGTAAACATCATCTTTTGGGCAATGATTCGTTCTGAAGTTCAGATATGTGGGGAATTACTGTATTGATGAGCAACTGACAGTGGACGGACAGATTGCTTACTGCTGATGTCAAAAGTCGATGCCATTTGAAACCATTGGATCTGTCCTTTATGTGAAGGGGCTAAATACGATAGGTGACCTCACTGCCAGTCATCCTGCCCGATGGCATGGTTAGGGTTGTTTCCAAATTTAAACTTTCCTAGTGTCCTGTTTATGTACAGTACAAATAGTAATTCAGTTGTGTAAATGTCAAGGTGTCCATTGTTGGAGAACCCAGCACCATTTACCTTGTGTGAATAAAAACAACTGCTGAAACAAAGACACTCTTCCATGCATGGTTCAGTTACTGTTGTTTTGGTCTGTAATCCTTATAGAAGTCCATATCCTTAAAGCATCCTACCCTGAAGATCTGGGTTAAGATTGGTCTACAGCAGCCCATGCTTGTTGTAACTTGTGGTAACTTAGGCCACTAATGGGATCGGCTGGTCAGGCTGGCCGACTTCATGCATGTTATGGTATGAATGTTTCAACTTAAGTCTTCCTGTGTGGATATGTGTACATGCTTGCTATTAATCACATTTGACAATAAATTGTTCACTTCTGTGGGTGAGGCCTAAAAACTCTAGCTTAGATTGTAGATGGCACAATTGTAATCGAAGCACCATAACTGTCACATTTACAAAAGATTTCATGACACAGTCTCCAAAATCAACATTTATTATACATAATTACATCGCCACCCCTCCATGTGTCCATATCACATCAATCAAACTCCATGTCAGCCCGACCTGGGGCGTCCTCAGCATCGCGGCACTTGGAGTGGACCAGTTCCCGGCGTATCTCACTAGTGATGGTGTGGTGCGTCTGTACCCGGAGCAGCTCCATCAGAGCCTCTTTCTGCTCCGTGGAGACGTCTTCCTTGTAGCGCTGTATGAAGGTCAGCAGACTCTGATGCCACAACACGGGGAGCTCGCGCTTGTCTGTCACAAACCTGTACATCAAACATGGACAGGAGTTAGGGGAACAGTAGCATCACATCCCTGATGATGAATGCTCTCACCACTCTCATTACCAAGTGTGATTGTAGAACTGTTAGAATTAATTTATGTCATGATGTTGACCCTGAACAACAGATGTTTGGTTGTTGTTTTACACTGCACTCAGCAATATTCCAGCTATATGGCGGTGGTCAATAATCAAGTCTGGACCAGACAATCCAGTGATCAACAGCATGAGCATGGTTCAGCTGGGAACCGATGACATGTGTCAACCAAGTCAGCGAGCCTGACTACCCGATCCCCTTAGTCGCCTCTTACGACAAGCATGGGTTACTGAAGACCAATATTCTAACCCGGACCTTCATGGGCACTGAACAACAGATATTATGACTGAGTAAGTATGGTTTATGCCAATATTCCAGCAGTATCAAGACAACAGAAATGGGCTTCACACATTGGACCCATGTAGGGAATCAAAGCTGGGTCTTCTGGTGATGAGCGATAGCTTTAACCACTACCCCCAACAGATATTATAGTTTGCCAAAAACTTATTCTAATCTTTGAAACATAAAGAGCATGGTATATTACTTGAGGCATCAAGTTTTGGTGTATCTGATAACCTTTCTGTATCACATAATGCTGTATCTTGTTTTGTTGTTTAATGCTGCACATAGCACAATTCCACCTACATGATGGCGGTTTGTAAATAATCGACTCTTGACTAGACAATCCAGTGATCCAACAGCATGAGTATCGATCTACTCAACTGGGGTACGATGACATGTGTCAGCAAAGCCAGCTAGCCTGACCACCCAATCCCATTAGTCGCCTCTTATGACAAGAATGGGTTGCTGAAGACCAATTTTAACCTGGTTCTTCATGAGTGGAATTCTGTATCTGATTATCTATTCTTCATAACCCACTCTATAAATGACCCCTCATTGTCTGTCAACCTCTCTGTCCTGCTACTTGCCTTGTGAAGTGGTGGACGACGGCATCAATGACTCTATACGGCAAGGCATACTTCTTGTCTAGGAGGGTCTTTAAGAAGATGCTGTTAGCACCGTTGTAGTCCATCTCTGCAATTTTCAAAATGGCTGCAGCAGAGTGCAGCATGGGTATTGTGTTCTTTGCCAGGATACTGGATATGATAACAGCCTCTCTCAGGGTGCAGTTGCCGGACTAAACAGGAAGCAACAGTAAAAGGTGTTTGTTAAAGTTCAGACTAAGTAGATACTTTGTTGAAGTACTTGCAAACAATTAGCATCAACAGGAGTATGGTCTGGAGTACAGGTTCATGCTGTCTGGAAATGGCAAATGTAGATGAATGCATGAAATTTGTAAAACAACTGGCTTTCTGTCGTGGTGTAATTTTGATTAAAACAAAATGTAACCAAAGTAGATTTAGTCACAATAGGTTTTTTATAGTAATAAGTTTGTAAAACACTGGTCTTGGCAAGTCTACTGGGTAGACTAGGTCGAACTTGACACTAGGCAAAATTTTACAAGACTAGGGCTTGGAACAAGTGACTAAAATCGCAGACTCAGATCTCAGTTAATGTTGACAGACATGGTCATCTGACATGGGACTCAGAGCTTTGCTGTGAGAAGTTCACTTGGCCCTATAATTCTGACAACAATAACACACAACTAACAGGAGATATCTTAAAGCACCACAACACTGCCTGACATTACACATAGAAATGGCTACAGATTGCAACTATATTCAGATGAAATAACTTACCTCACACAGAGGAAGGAGAATTCCTTTGAAGAAGGCGGCTGGCTTGAAGAGGGACTTCTGAACAGCCTGGAGAAACAATGGCTTCAGTCAGTGCTTCATTTGGGTGTGGTGGAAGGTACATAGTGAAGGTGTAGTAAGAGGTGAGGTGAAATGGGGTTTAACGTCGCACTTAAGAATATTTCGCTCATATGACGACGTGCATGCATGTGTATGTGTAGCTACATGACCTAAGCTGGTCTTATAGTGCAAGCTCACTGAGATACCATGCCCCAATTAAACATGAATACCCCACATTATACCGACTTCGATCCGACCAGTCCTTGTTGTACCCATTAATGCCGAGTGCCAGGCAGGGACCAACAGGTGAGTAGGTGAGTTTAGTTTTACGCCGCACTCAGCAATATTCCAGCTATATGGCGGTGGTCTGGAAATAATCAAGTCTGGACCAGACAATCCAGTGATCAACAGCATGAGCATCGATCTGCGCAATTGGGAACCGATGACATGTGTCAACCAAGTCAGCAATCCTGACCACCCGATCCCGTTAGTCGCCTCTAATGACAAGCATGGGTTACTCAAGATCAATATTCTAGCCTGGACCTTCACGGGTCGGACCAACAAATACCATATTTTAACGTCTTTTGGTATAACGCGACATTCCAGGGCCCGGGCAGCTGCTCTAACCACGACATCACTGAGGTGGTCCAGGTGTAGTAAGAGCGCTTGATACAGGTGTAGAGGAGAGTGCTTGATGCAGGTGTAGAGGACAGTGCTTGATGGAGGTGTAGAGGAGAGTGCTTGATGCAGGTGTAGAGGAGAGTGCTTGATGCAGGTGTAGAGGAGAGTGCTTGATGAAGGTGTAGAAGAGAGTGCTTGATATACAGGTGTAGAGGAGAAGGCTTGATGCAGGTGTAGAGGAGAGTGCTTGATGAAGGTGTAGAAGAGACTGCTTGATATACAGGTGTAGAGGAGATTGCTTGATGCAGGTGTAGAAGAGACTGCTTGATACAGGCGTGAGAGAAGGCTTGATGCAGGTGTAGAGGAGAGGGTTTGATGCAGGTGTAGAGGAGAGTGTTTGATGCAGGTGTAGAGAAGAGAGCTTGATGCAGGTGTATAGGAGAGTGCTTGATACAGGCGTAGAGGACAGTGCTTGATGCAGGTGTATAGGAGAGTGCTTGATGCAGGTGTATAGGAGAGTGTTTGATGCAGGTGTATAGGAGAGTGCTTGATGCAGGTGTAGAGGACAGTGCTTGATGCAGGTGTAGAGAAGGCTTGATGCAGGTGTAGAGGACAGTCCTTGATGCAGGTGTAGAGGAGAGTGTTTGATGCAGGTGTAGAGGACAGTGCTTGATGCAGGTGTATAGGAGAGTGGTTGATGCAGGTGTATAGGAGAGTGCTTGATGCAGGTGTAGAGGACAGTCCTTGATGCAGGTATATAGGAGAGTGCTTGATGCAGGTGTAGAGAAGAAAGGACGATGCAGATGTGGAGGAGAGTGCTTGATACAGGTGTAGAGTAGAAGGCTTGATACAGGTGTAGAGGACAGTCCTTGATACAGGTGTATTGGAGAGTGCTTGATGCAGGTGTAGAGGACAGTCCTTGATACAGGTGTATTGGAGAGTGCTTGATGCAGGTGTAGAGAAGAAAGGACGATGCAGATGTGGAGGAGAATGCTTGATACAGGTGAAGAGTAGAGGGCTTGATACAGGTGTAGAGGACAGTCCTTGATGCAGGTGCATTGGAGAGTGCTTGATGCAGGTGTAGAGAAGAAAGGACGATGCAGATGTGGAGAGAGTGATACAGGTGTTGCTTGATACAGGTGTAGAGTAGAGTGCTTGATACAGGTGTAGAGGACAGTCCTTGATACAGGTGTATTGGAGAGTGCTTGATGCAGGTGTAGAGGACAGTGCTTGATGCAGGTGTAGAGAAGGCTTGATGCAGGTGTAGAGGACAGTCCTTGATACAGGTGTATTGGAGAGTACTTGATGCAGGTGTATAGGAGAGTGCTTGATGCAGGTGTAGAGGACTTGATGCAGGTGTATAGGAGTGCAGGTGATGACAGGTGTAGGGAGAAAGTGCTTGATGCAGGTGTATAGGAGAGTGCTTGATGCAGGTGTGATGCAGGTGTAGAGGACAGTGCTTGATGCAGGTGTAGAGGAGAGTGCTTGATGCAGGTGTGATGCAGGTGTAGAGGACAGTGCTTGATGCAGGTGTATAGGAGAGTGATTGATGCAGGTGTAGAAGGCTTGATGCAGGTGTATGATGCAGGTGTAGAGGACAGTCCTTGATGCAGGTGTAGAGGAGAGTGCTTGATGCAGGTGTAGAGGACAGTGCTTGATGCAGGTGTATAGGAGAGTGATTGATGCAGGTGTATAGGAGAGTGCTTGATGCAGGTGTAGAGGACAGTCCTTGATGCAGGTATATAGGAGAGTGCTTGATGCAGGTGTAGAGAAGAAAGGACGATGCAGATGTGGAGGAGAGTGCTTGATACAGGTGTAGAGTAGAAGGCTTGATGCAGGTGTAGAGGAGAGGGCTTGATGCAGGTGTAGAGGAGAGTGTTTGATGCAGGTGTAGAGAAGAGAGCTTGATGCAGGTGTATAGGAGAGTGCTTGATGCAGGTGTAGAGAAGAAAGGATGATGCAGATGTGGAGGAGAGTGCTTGATACAGGTGAAGAGTAGAGGGCTTGATACAGGTGTAGAGGACAGTCCTTGATGCAGGTGCATTGGAGAGTGCTTGATGCAGGTGTAGAGAAGAAAGGACGATGCAGATGTGGAGGAGAGTGCTTGATACAGGTGTAGAGTAGAGTGCTTGATACAGGTGTAGAGAACAGTCCTTGATACAGGTGTATTGGAGAGTGCTTGATGCAGGTGTAGAGGACAGTCCTTGATACAGGTGTATTGGAGAGTGCTTGATACAGGAGTAGAGGGCTTGATACAGGTGTAGAGGACAGTCCTTGATGCAGGTGCATTGGAGAGTTCTTGATGCAGGTGTAGAGAAGAAAGGACGATGCAGATGTGGAGGAGAGTGCTTGATACAGGTGTAGAGTAGAGGGCTTGATACAGGTGTAGAGATGCAGGTATAGAGGAGAGTGCTTGATGCAGGTGTAGAGGAGAGTACTTGAGGCAGGTGTGTGGGATTGTGATTGATGCAGGTGTGGAGAAGAGTGCTTGATGCAGGTGCGGAGAAAAGTGCTTGATACAGGTGAGGAGGAGAGTGCTTGATGCATGTGAGGAGGAGAGTGCTTGATGCAGGTGAGGAGGAGAGAGGTTGATGCAGGTGAGGAGGAGGAGAGTGCTTGATGCAGGTGAGGAAGAGAGTGCTTGATGCAGGTGAGGAGGAGAGTGCTTGATGCATGGGTACAATATATTTGGTTACTCAAAGGAAAATTAGGATACCCAATTGAGATGAACACAAGCGAGTACATAACTCAATGACCCAAAAAGTTATCTGCAGCTCTGGAGTACCTGAGGCAAGTGTGTGGGAATGTGCTTGATGCAGGTGTAGAGGAGAGTGCTTGATGGAGGTGTGCTGATAAGCTACGAGTAAGTAAGAAACATATATAGAAAGGTAATGTCTGCTTTTACTGCCAACAATTAGTTATAATAAACAACACAGTTGCGATGTATACAGGATCTCACCATGTACAGATGGAAGTTGAGTCTATTGTACTCTGCAATGTCATCTCTGACCCGGGGATACAGGACAAGGTTGAAGAACCTGGGAGGAGAAAGAAACATGTGACACACCTGCAGGCCAGAGTACACTTAGTGCTCAACCTGGCTAAACCAGAAGGAAACTGAAGGTTTTGTTTCATATCTACACATACATATGTAGTGGCAGTATTGTCTAAAATAGGCATGAACCTATGTAAACAAGTGCTTGCCTATGATGTGACAATGTCCCCCACCGCTAAAGAATGGAATATTTATAACACATCTACTACTTTTTATTTTTTGGTCACATACAAGATGCCTGATATGGCTGGTGTCTGCATAATCACCCAATGTAGGCTGTTAACATAATTGAAGACATTGGGTCAATGTTTTATGAGATATCGCGTTAACAAGAGTTTGAAAAGTGGTCAAAGTGTCGTGGTCACCTTGAAAATAAGGTCAAGTCCACCAAAATTGACTGGTGTCTGTGTAATCCCCCACTGTAGGCTATCACAAGATTTGAAGACATCGGGTACAACAGTTCATGAGATATCGTGTTAACAAGAGTTTTAAAAGTGGTCAAAGTGTTGCAGTGACCTTGAAAATAAGGTCAAGTCCACCAAAATTGACTGGTGTCTGTGTAATCCCCCACTGTAGGCTGTCACCAAATTTGAAGACATCGAGTACAACAGTTCATGAGATATCGCGTTAACAAGAATCGGGATGGACGGACATACGGACGCCGCTGAATACATAGTCCCCCGTTCCATGTGTGTGGGGGGGGACAATAAAAGGCAGATTTATGAGAGACCTCATCTTGGTCTTTGTTGGACGTTACCCGTGAAGGTCCGGGTTAGAATACTGATCTTCAGTAACCCATGCTTGTCCTACGAGGCGACTAATGGGATTGGGTGGTCAGGCTCGCTGACTTAGTTGACACGTGTCATCGGTTCCCAATTGCGCAGATCGATGCTCATGCTGTTGATCACTGGACTGTCTGGTCCAGACTCGATTATTTACAGACCGCCGCCATATAGCTGGCACATTGCTGAGTGCAGCGTAAAACTAAACTCACTCACACTCTTTCTTGGTCGTAATCAGGATATCAACAAGGTGTTACCTTTGAGACATCTTGACATTGAGATTGGACACAAATATTCTGGTGGCCTGGCACATAGTGGCTGCTGACCAGGTCTCGGGCTCTGTCAGGTACAGGATCTAGAACATGGAGGAGAAAGGGATGATGTCATGGCAGGGGACACCTAGAACCTTCACCCAAAGTACACAGGAGAGAAATAAACCTGGGCCTCGGGGAAGTTTTCAATGGATCTTGAGGGAGGGGAGGGTGTCAGGAAGGCAGGGTGAGGACTCAAGTATATCTATCTTTACATGGGCCCCTCACTCGGATGTGTTTATCACCATCTTGAACAGTATTTCATTTATAACACAGCATGTCAGCTGGAACGAAGGTAAAACATGATGTTTGGTGTTTACAATTTGAAATCATAATGATCGCTTTCTCCCACAGTACCTACCTGTTCCCAGTTCCGTAATGTTGGGATGATCTTGAAGGCTTTAGGTAGTTTCCCACTTCTGTATTTCTGCAGAATTTGTCGGATACTTCGGTACATCGTGACCACCCTCTCATCCAGCTGCTGCATCTGAACACTGGCGTTGTCTGCAACACATGACACACGTATCACACACATCACACATACATGGTGAGCAGCATCGCATCCGGCAGCTGGATCTTTCAAGGCATCAAATAAGGTCTTCTGCTGTCTCATAAGATAATGAGAATGGTTGGTAGGTTGGTTGTTTGATGCCGCACTCAGCAATATTCCAGCAATATGACGGCAGACTGTAAATAATCAAGTCTGGACCAAACAATCCAGTGATCAACAGCATGAGCATCGATCTACACAATTGGGATACGATGACATCCTGATAGTCACCCCTTTTGACAAGCATGGGCTACTGGAGACCAATTCTAACCTGGATCTTCAAAGGTTTAATGAGAATAATGAGTAATGCTTGATCATGTTGGCATTGGCAAGATCTCCAAAAACAAAGATGACATGTCATTAAGGTTGGCAACTCTATAACCAGTCTGTCAATTTCTTTGTGTTATCTAAGAGCACTTGAGTTTTTTAACATGCATTTCATTATTAACTGTCCTGATCTACATTTTACTTCTGTTGCCATGGTTACCTGATAACTGTGTTTTAATCTCTGTTTGTTTTTTCAGTGATCTTCTCCATGATGATATCAGCCAGCGTGCGTCTGACCGGCGGGTTATGTGACATGAACATCTCCATTGCCTTCTCGTCATCAGCATTAACTTCCTGAAATACAGCAACGGATTAGGAAACACTGATGAAGTAGATTTTCTGACTTCGACCTGTTGTCTTTGGGACTGCGATTGAGGATTTAATAGTAGCAGTGACTGCAAATGTAATCATTATCAGTGTATGAAATAAGCCAGACATCAGGGCTGGTAACTTCAAAATGTTACCAGCCAAAAATGGATTTAACCAGACCAGACATCCCAATGAAAAAAGTCAGTGTTTACTAAGATGTATGGAACATGTTAAACTTTGGACCAGACCATCGGGATGGCTAGCTGAAAATTTAGACCGTCCGTCAGAAATCTAGCCCATCTCGGGCGGTCGGACAGGCCTTATTTCATACACTGTTATTATTAAGGCTGTAATGATTCACTCGCATATTCGGTGAATCGAACCGTAGCCCTTCATGAATTCAATTCGTTATTCGTGGTCACCAGAACCGAATATTAACGCATATTTACGATTTTTTTTAAGGATGCGTGTTTTACTTCAACCCTTATGTCCTTTCCAAAGTGAGATATGCAAGAATGGAACATGTACTAGCATTGCAGTAGTGCAAGTCATGTTAGTTTGCCAAGACTGCACATGGTACTGTCGATTATAACTATTACATACCAAATTTGAGTGTCATGAGATCACTGGTTATTGCTGTGACAAATTAACACTGTCAACATGTCCGTTCCATACTGTACATCAATCACTTAACTACAATATTGTATTTGTGAATAATTATTCGTATTCGTTATCCAATATTCATGATACGCATCATATTCGCCACATAGTGTATTCATTGCAGCCCTAGTTATTATGCATGAATATATGTCTGCAGCAGTAATCAGTGTATAGTTTGTATGTACTAGTGGCTATGAAGAGTGAACAGTTTGTATGTAGCAGTGATTGTGAGCAGTGAATAGTTTGTATGTAGCAGTGATCGTGAGTATTTTTGTTAGGCATGAATATTTCATTGTTTGCAGCCGTTTTCTTCACTTCTGTGACTGCAAGGAGTGACAGCTGAACTTACAATTGGTTCATAATGTTCTTCATCTTCTGATCCAAGGTCATCTTCTGAGTCTGATGCATCATGGGAGGGACCTGGACCAAGACTCACAGTTTTGGGACCGACTTTTTTTCTGGAAGACAAATGTTGTAAATCATGAAACTGAACTGAGCATGAATTACTTGGGGAAAATTAAGTGCCCTTGCCTTAGCTCCATTTATCATTGATGTGACCCAGTTTATCTGGACATAATCGTAAAGTGTCCCGCCAAGTTCACTGCACATGTTGGAAACAATAACCATATGACAAAGACCCCAGTAGGTATTGTATCAGCTGCAGACTCGGTGTTTCTCACTGGGTAATGTGTCAGTCCAGTCAACTTTGGTTTACAAAAGTGGAGCAAGTAGTTTGTCCACAAATGTGTATAGCACTGTTTTGGGTTGAGTAAGCGGGTGAGTTTTACACTGCTTTCATCAATATTCTACTTTCTAGCAATATCAAAGTAGGTACAATGTACACCATATATGGGCTTCACAAAAATGTACCAATGTGTGGAATAAAACCTGGGTCTTCAGTGTGATATGCAAATGCTTTATTAACAAAACCACACCGCTTCACATACTTTTCTTTCGGTGATCTTGTCAAATAATGTTTTAATATTAAACAAAACACTGTATATCCAAGACATGAAAATGTCCAGTACAATAACAAAAATATGTGCCATATTGGTGATAATAATATGCTTAAGGTACTTAATGAATACAGACCAATGTTTATTTACAAAGATCATGTTACTAATCTTCATTGGTTGACATGACCAAACACAAATCTCCTGAACATTTGACACACAGGAAGGATCTTCAAGTTTCTGGTTCAGAATGTCAACAAAAGTATTTCCCTACTTCTGAGGTCCAATTTCCTCCTCAAGTTCCTCTTGCTGTGCTCGGGCTTGTGCCAAAATCTTTTTTTGACAGCTTCTCATCAACAAACTGCAGCAGAAGAAAACAATTAAAAACACCTGCACATGTGACAGAAGAAACTGATATCATGCATATTTAAACATATCTACATTATATAATTATATTTGTGATCTATATCTCATGTTGTAGCCACATCTGTTGGCTTGAAATGTGAGCAAATTTGATTAGGGACATTGACAGTGTTACTTCCCTTTCGTTTTATTTAGGGCTAAGAACCTGCCAGTGACAATACATACCTTGATGCCAGTTTCTAGTGTTACAACCTCATTCGATGGAAATTGGTTATCTGCAGCATGTTTCAGGCATGGCACAGTTAATCATGCTAATCTATCATGATCTAAAATCATGATCAAATGACCAGACACTTGTTTGTGCAAAATAATAGTTCATACATGTAATGTATACTTACCAGGGGATACACCCGAACCGGCCCCAAGCCGAACCGGACCCTGGATATTTAACCCAAACCGGCCCCTGGATATTTAAACCAAACCGTCCCCGCTCCCCGCACCCGAACCGGCCCCTGGGTTAATTAACGATAATCAGACAGACAATTAATCAGACAGACATGAAGATTTCAGTTAATTTATTATATATATACAGACATGAAGATTTCAATGAATTTATTATATATATATAGACATGAAGATTTCAGTTTATTATATATATATACAGACATGAAGATTACAATTAATTTATTATATATATAAACAGACATGAAGATTTCAATTAATATATATATATATATATAGACATGAAGATTTCAGTTAATTTATTATATATATATACAGACATGAAGATTTCAATTAATTTATTATATATATATAGACATGAAGATTTCAGTTAATTTATTATATATATATATACAGACATGAAGATTTTAATTAATTTATTATATATGTATAGACATGAAGATTTCAATTAATTTATTATATAGGCACTGTTGTCTTTCACGGCATCTCAGTGAGCAGTAAACGCATAATCGGACACGTTATCCATGATGAACAAATTATGAATCATGTCCTTCAGATAATGTCTTTTATAAGATTTTACGCAAGGTGAAGATAACAGTATACGGTGCAGGTGACATTGAGTGAACGCAATCAGTGTCAAGTAAGAGCATACGCCTAAGACAACATGTACATTAATTCGCTCACGATAATCCGTTCAAAGAAATATTAAAACAACACATTCACTTTAATCGCTCAGTGAGACGTGCGTAAAATAACAGTTTAATTTTGGAGCTGAAGAATGTTTTCATAATGTTAGCAGAATTCACTCTGTGAAACGTGGTTAATGTGTGTTGAAAATCTTGACAAATGTTCCACACATGGAAACATGCGAAAAGATGAAGGACGACATTATTTTTCGTTACTGGAAACTTGGGCGTAACAAAGCTGAAACGTGAATTCATTATATTGGATTTATGCGCTATTCTTGTATTGAATTAATGTGTCAATTCTGTGGATACGATACAACGAAATGTAAGAACACGTTTTACTTTAATATTGTTTTGCAATTGATCTTTTAGATTCTTAAAAGAATTACATAAAATGTCCTCTACCACGGGATCTCGTGATCAGCAGCACTTGCATGTTCACTTGCCTCTCATCGACACTAATATTCGCTAATATATTTTCAAAAATCGATATTACATGTAAAGACATATGAGTAATATGTTTTCGTCATTTATGTTAAAGGAACTTTAATTCATATGTCAATGTAGAAATATTTACTTCTCGGGGCCGGTTTGGGTCAAATACCAGGGGCCGGTTCGGGTTAAATATCAGGGGCCGGTTCGGCTTGGGGCCGGTTCGGGGGTAATTCCTTACCAGTACCCATCCGTTACCAAATGCTTATTGTCAACAGTTGGAAAATATGACAGTTTGCAACATATTGTGCTTTATAATACACAACAATTATGGAGTTTGATGGTCTATATTATAAGGATTAGATTTTATCCTTCACTATATACTTACTTCCCGCACATCATCATGATCATCTAGCACTATGTAAACTTACACGTTATGGCTCGTGGGTGACATATATCGCCACTCAGATTCTGAAAGTTGACAGTGTTGTCAAGGGATTACATCTGATACAAAGGTTCTGAACTTATTTTACCTCAAATAAGTAACATTTTGAAGTCACTGACCAAGCAAAATATTTTCTCGTTGCAGTGCTTTACATGTAAACATGGTAAACGTGATATGCATTTTTTTCACAAATTCTCAGCTGCCTTGTTTTCAGTGTTTACGTGAACCTTACTGATTAAAAAGGAAACTGACCTGCCAAACTGCATTTGAAGGCTACTAATTCACAGAAAATGACATAGATTATTGGATAGGCGTGCCTCGCGGCTAGCATGGTGTCAATGGACTTGCACAACAACCAGCCAACTAGAACAAGTATCACGATTATAATAAGTGCTCAAATAGCCAACCTCTTCGTCTTCCTCTTTCCTTAGTCGAACTTTTGCTCTACTTTTTTGTTTTATGCTTGTGTCCTCCATGTATTGTTGTGCTAGGTCGCCCTCTCCTCCTTGTGATCGACGCATTTTCTTTACTTTACCCATATTATTTCCGTAATTCGTTTGTAAACGAGATACCGTCCACACGTGTTGTGGACACGGAAGCGGAAATATACCTTACGCTCCTTACAACGTAAGCTGGGCCCCGTCTCGCATATCGCTAGCTTTGGCGAAAAAAGACACTGTTCGGAGCTGGACTATGCGCACCTCAACAGTGGTACCAGTCAAAACGTGTGGCCGTTGACCCGAAAATAATGAAAGCGTCAATAGGAGAAACACTTTCGCTGTTGCTGAAAATTATCTATCTTTATTTGGAATCTTTTTATCGACTGATCGTGCCACCCGCCAGACAAGATGTCCGCGGGAAGAAAGTACTGATCACAGGTGCAGGGCACGGCATTGGCCGGGAACTGTCACTGGAGTTTGCCCGCCTCGGAGCGTCGCTCATACTGTGGGATATCAATAAGGTGAGACGTGTGCTTATTTACATCATTGTCACGAGTGCAGTATACCGGGCGCAGCTCACTATAGTGTTAACTGGCTCAGACTGCCAACTAGACAGTTTCACTGATCTGGCATGCCTCTTCTTCAACTGTTCAAAGTTCGATCCTTAAAGTTAGTGGTGTTGGAGTAATAGGTGCTGTATGTTCTGCGATGGTGTCACCGGTGTAGGCTACAGTGTAGACATGTTTGGACTGCAGTGCAGGATCCCATCGCGGCTCTGTGCTAGGTGTAATATAACTCCTTATCATGCTTATCTGTTGAAACGCTTTCCTAACATCTACGACCTACGACATTTTACGATCTTTTATTTACATCATACTCCGTGAATTTCTTCCTTGTACGAATGTTTCCTAGAAATGACCTTCAGACACCATTGTGATTCTATAGTATGACCAGAAATTATTGAGAATTTTAGGAATATGCTTAATTGGATTTCTAGTATAATCAACCTTGACCAGCTATCAAGTGCTTGGTTTCATTCAAGAGAGACAACTCCGTTAATCCTTTTTCATTAGTTTGTGAAGAGTTATCCTCCTTTGTATTACCTTTGCTAGCAGACGACATTTTCAGTGATCCTCAGTATGGATGATTTAGAGAAGAGGAAGTTGATTTTAGAGTATTATAACAAGGACATCAGATCAGCTAAAGTGATTTCAAGTAGAATAGGCATCCCTTTGTCCACTGTTTATCGTGTTTTGAAAAATATTGCAAATGGATATGGCATTGAGCACCAGGGAGGCGCAGGTAGGCCCAGAAAATTGACTGTCGGTGACAGGAGGCGGCTTGGTATTCTTGTTTGTAAAAACAAATGAAGGAGTTTAGAAAACTAAAGGCAGGATATGATTGATAGAGGAACTGTGGCTGTCTGTAAGGAGACAATTAGAACTGAGCTGCATGCAATGGGTTGGCTGAAAAGACAAGGAATTCCATCACCAATCATGAAACCTGAACAAAAGGAGCGAAGGTTGAACTGGTGCTTACAGCATAGAAATGTTAACTGGGACAATGTGATTTTCTCGATGAAAGTTCTGTGTGGCTGTTTCCTAATACACTGAAATTCTGGTTGAAACAAAGCGAAAAAAACTTTGTATCAGCGCCCAAAGTACAGTCCGAAATTTAACGTCTGGGGTGGCATATCTGTGTTAGGGGCAACGCCCCTCTGTGTATTTGAAGGGAATATGAACAGTGAGCGGTACACAGATATTCTCGAGGGACATTTACTTCCATCTGCTCACGTGTTCTATGGAAATTTTTGGATTTTCCAGCAGGACAACGACCCAAAACATCGTTCAAAGCATTCACAGGCCTGGTTTCGGACCCAAAATATGACATTATTAGATGGGCCAAGCTATAGCCCTGACCTAAATCCAAAAGAAAATGTTTGGGGACTTATGAAGGAAAGTGTCAATAAGAAAAATCTGACAAATATTGCTGAAATGAAAGAAGAGGTGGTCCGATATTGGGGCAGCATGGACCACGACTTTCTAACTTCTTTGATCAGTAGTATGCCCAGCCGCATTGAAGCCTGCATTGCTGCCCATGGTGACTTGACAAAATACTAACTGTTCACCTGTCTTTCAATCTGGAGTTATGTTCTGCTAATATTCACATTTAATACTTGAATAATGAGTGAAAAAAAATATTAAAAATTACAATCTTTAAATTCTCAATAATTTCTGGTTGTACTGTAACTATAAAATTGGCAGTCAACACAAGGCTTCTTACCCCAAATCTGCTGTCTGGGCAGATGCATAAATCGACCTACTAGTGCTACTGTTATAAACGGTGGGGAGTAGGTACCAGGGTGGTGGGTAACACTGGGTATTGTAATTTGTATGTTCTGCGAAACTCTGATGATGTATGTTTTTTACGTTTCTCAGTCCTCAGATAACTGCCATTTCACTTGGTGCTACCAGAAAAATGCTGAATACAAGACACATGAATCAAGATTATAGTTCATTATATGCATGATAAGCAAATTTTGAATCTGTGAAGAAAATGCTAATCCATATTTCAATATTTTAAAGTTGGAGTGTTCTTTCCTTTTAAATCAGAAAATCAACTCCATAACTTTGCAATTTATATGAAGTTGAGCATCACATACACACTCACACTACCTACTGGGGAACAGGTGGCCACATTTCTCTTGGTTTGATGGAAGGTTCTAATCCCTGTTCACACCCGTTTTATTTCTTGGTTTGTTAGCACTTTATCTGTACTCATGAGTTTCACCAATGTGGCCAACCTCTGAGACGTGCATCACTTAATACTATCCTGCCACATTAAGCTGACATGCTGTCATAAAATGTGAATAATGTACAAAACAGTTTCAAATCCAACTCACTCACTATTGTCACTTACCATTTGATATGAAAGATTGTACATGTCCAAAGATGTTTTACATCTTACAGGAGAACAATGAAGGAACAGCTGATGAAGTCCGTCATATTGGTGCCACAGTCCACACCTACATCTGTGACGTCACCTCCACCGACGACGTACATACCATTGCTGACCGTGTGAGGAGGGAGGTGGGCAACGTGGACATCTTGGTCAACAACGCTGGCATCCTGTACGGTGGACCGGTTCTCGACATGCAGGAGAAGCATATCCGTCGCACATTTGAAGTGAACACCTTGGCTCATTTCTGGGTAAGAATTGGACAAGGACCATAACAACCATCTCTTAGTTGGCCACAGTGTTATCCAGCGATCTACTTACTTGTGTAAATGTGGGCTAGAATTGGCTTTCAACAATCCACAGTTTTTGTAAGAAGTGACAAATTGGGTGGCCAGACTTGATACATGTCATTGTATCCCTATTGCACAGATGCTCATGATGTCAGTCACTGGCTTGTCTGGTCCATACCTGATTATTTACAGACCACCATCATATACCTGGAATATTACTGGTTGTGTCATTAATAGGGCTGCGCAATATAACCGGTTTACCGGTATTTACCGGTTCAGACATGAAAATGATACGTATTGCGATACCCTGATCGAAAACCTGTGTTTTGACTTGCATTCGGAAAACTTCGTAACACTCGGAAACCTTCGGATATTTCCTTTTTTCATTTGTGCCAAATATTATTCACATTGTTATTTTTAATCATGAATAAAAGTTGTTATTAAAGCTTAATCAAGCATAGTGATTTTGCTGTGTATTTGCTCTATAAATCAAGCATTACCTCGATTATCAGTAGAGTTTGTGTAAAAATACTTCACGCAATATATTGCAATACATATTGCAATATGGAAATTCTCTGCAATACCCACCCCCAGTCATTAAACACCAAACAAACAAAATAGTCAAAGGTGTATTCTTGCTGTGAGTGTGATAGAGAAATGGATGTGAAAGTTACGATGTTGAAATTTTATTGTTCAATCAACATCAGCTTTTAATGTTGCAACAGCATTTACTTTTGTTTGGAATTGAAAGTGTAAATGTTGACTTTTGAACAACATCAAATATCAGTGTTGAATTTTGGTTGTGTACTCTTTGAAAATTTATTTCACAGATGAATACTGTACTTTAGGTTAAATTAACTCTACCCCTATATCTAGACCAGTTACCACCATGGGTATGAGTTGTCTCCCTTGTGGAGAGCTTCTTTCATTCTGACAGATTTCTTGCAGACTGTTCGTGAGTTTCTGCCTTCCATGCTTGAGGCCAACAATGGAGTCATCATGAACATTGCTTCATCATCAGCAAAGTCTGGAACAGCATTCTTGGTTGATTACAGGTGAGACATAGTTTAATGTCAGGTGTAGATTTGTTGGATTTTAAGTTTTCCAGTAGTTCAAAGCTTTAAAGAAAAGTAATGTCTCGACACTGTTCTGTTATTTGTCATCATGGTATTGTCAACAACAGTCCATACTGTTGGGCTCCAATGGCATGCAATCAGCATTTTCACGAGTCTGACCACATGGTCCATTGTCATCTCAAATGACCAACACAGGTTACCTGGTACCAATATCACCAGAATTAAGACAAATAGAACTGTTATTTTTAATGATTTGTCAGAGTGAGATTTGTGTCTTTCACAATGTGTGCAGGTGATAAGCGTCTGTGACCTGTGTAATTTCGGACATTCTTAAGCAGTAATACAAAGTTCATACAAAAATAAAAAAATGTTCCTCTCTCTCTTTCGTCACCCACTCAGCAGCAGATTGCCCCCAGAATTTTGATAATCATTCACTTCCTGACCCTCGTACCCACTTATTCTTCCTGTTTCCAGCTCGTCCAAGTATGCTGTATTCGGCTTCACAGAGGCCCTGAGGGAGGAGATTGATCGACTGGGGAAGCCGGGGGTGCAGACCACTGTGGTCTGTCCATTTTTTGTTGACACAGGACTATGTAAATACCCAAAGAGCAGGTAGGGAGAATTCTTTTTGTTCATGCTTAATCAAAAGCTCTGTAACTATTTAAGTAGGGTATGAAGCTTATCTCCACACACATGATCCAATATGTAGTATGATAAGCCAGTTTAGATTGGTTGGTTGGTTTGTTGTCTAGCTGCACTCAGCAGTATTCCAGCTATATGGTGGCAGTCTGTAAATAATCGAGTCTTGACCGGACAATCAAGTGATCAACAGCATGAGCATCAATCAATGCAATGGGGATGCCATGACATCTGTCAACCAAGTCAGCGAGCCTGACCACCCGATCCTGATAGTCGCCTCATATGACAAGCTTGGGTTACTGAAGACCAATTCTAACCCGGATCTTCACGGGTAGCCAGTATAAGAACACAAAGGCCATGTAATGAATATATTTATTAATTTAAAGAAAACATCAATTACGCCTTCTCGGGTAACAGTAACTAGCGAAGCATATCAGTCCCTTCAAGAATCACACAGCATATATAGCAAGACATGTTTTTTTCAGCCAGTTCAGAGCCTAAGAGTTACGTGCCTCATAACTCTGATATCTTGATCTGAGATTGGTTTGTGGAAAATGACAACCAAAAATGCTGTCATAATTTAGCTTTTAAATCATATGTGCTCATGTGGTTATATATTGTCTGTCTTCATTTGGCTCAGGTTTGACCCAATTTTGACCCCCAAGGAGACAGCCATTACAGCCATTGATGGGATGTTGCGAGGGGAGAAGGAGGTGTATGTGCCACGAAGGATGTGGCTACAGCTGAGGACTGCCGCGTACGTACACTGTAGAGACTGTTGTGTGACTAAAGGCAGTTGGCATATATTAGTTAATGCCAAGATCAGTGCTGCAACATATTCTTAAAACTTTGATGTCACCGAATTGTCACACATTGCATGATGTCATGGATGATGGAATTGTATGAGTGAGTGAGTTAGTTTTATGCCACACTCGGCAATATTCCAGCTACATGGCAGCGGTCTGTAAATAATCGAGTCTGGACCAGACAATACAGTGATCAACAGCATTAGCATCAATCTACGCAATTGGGGCGTGTCAACCAAGTCAGCGAGCCTGACCACCCAATCCCGTTAGTCGCCTAGGCCTCTTACGACAAGCATAGGTTACTCATTATCAATTCAAACGCAGATCTTCAGGTGTCGGGACTGTATAAAATCATCAGTTGTATAGTAGTGTTTGAATGGTTGCTTGTCATAATTGGTACAATGTGTGAAGCCCATTCTGGTGTCACCAGTCTCCATCACCGTACACTCTGAGCTGAAACACTAGTAATTATTGTTACTATATGATTGATAGTGTTTCCACATAACTAGTCCAGTAAACTGATCATGATGTGATACACATGCATAGATGTCTACAGGCTTGACAAACTATTGGATGATGTAAACAATATGTTAAGATATCGATTGTTTATATCTGAGTACAATGTAAACACACACACTGAAGTCACTTGGCACTTATATATAAACAGGGAGTTTCACTCAGGTATTGTTTGGATGGATTTTTAAAAATATATTTATAAATAAGTTCAACATATGATACAGGAAGTATTACCAGTGTGTGTTTGACAATGTTATTGATATGCTGTTTCTGTTTCCCCAGTCTTTTCCCAGAGAAAGCCCTCCCTCTGCTGAAGAAATTCCACCAGTATGGAATCGACCCTCAGTACAACTCAAAGAGTGACTGATACAACATGCTCCAGTTGTTTTCTTTGATTACATGTACTTTTTCTACATGTTTAAAAAAACTTGGCCGAAATTGAGTATTGATTTTTTATACCAATATATATTGTTATCCATTTACAAGTATATCCGATATTTTACAATGTCAGAATGACAATAAAGCGATTTTTAAAACGTAACTTGTGTTGTTATTTCACTGCCAAAACCACCAACTCTGGAAGACTCCAGTGGAGATTTCCGGGATGAATAGACTTCGTCCCTGGACCTCGTCACTCCATGCTCAACTCACAGTGGAGATTCCAGGGATGAATAGACCCCGGCACTCCATGCTCAACTCACAGTGGAGATTCCAGGGATGAATAGACCCCGGCACTCCATGCCTAAAGTGGAGATTCCAGGGATGAATAGACCCTGGCACTCCATGGCCAACTCATAGTGGAGATTCCAGGGATGAATAGACCCTGGCACTCCATGCCTAACTCATAGTGGAGATTCCAGGGATGAATAGACCCTGGCACTCCATGCCTAACTCATAGTGGAGATTCCAGGGATGAATAGACCCTGGCACTCCATGCCTAACTCATAGTGGAGATTCCAGGGATGAATAGACCCTGGCACTCCATGCCTAACTCATAGTGGAGATTCCAGGGATGAATAGACCCTGGCACTCCATGCCCAATCATAGTGGAGATTCCAGGGATGAATAGACCCTGGCACTCCATGCCTAACTCATAGTGGAGATTCCAGGGATGAAGAGACCCTGGCACTCCATGCCTAACTCACAGTGGAGATTCCAGGGATGAATAGACCCTGGCACTCCATGCCTAACTCATAGTGGAGATTCCAGGGATGAATAGACCCTGGCACTCCATGCCTAACTCATAGTGGAGATTCCAGGGATGAATAGACCCTGGCACTCCATGGCCAACTCACAGTGGAGATTCCAGGGATGAATAGACCCTGGCACTCCATGGCCTAACTCACAGTGGAGATTCCAGGGATGAATAGACCCTGGCACTCCATGCTTAACTCACAGTGGAGATTCCAGGGATCTAACTACATTCATTACCCCCTCCACATGAGGTCTCTTCAAGTGAATTTGTCAATCCGTGAAACAGCAGCCATGCCTTAGAATTTTTGGTCGCAAGGAATATACACATGGGCATTAATCAAGCAACATCAACTTTTTTATAAGATGAGTACGGAACATGTTTTATATGCTTTGAAAACCTACTTCCGGGTATGAAGATGGCAACTGTGACATATTTAACACTGATTAAGCAAAACCAAAAAAGTTGAGATTTGGTATCAATTTCCTTGAAATCGGAGAGAAATACAGAAAAACGTGAATGTGAACAATGCCGGGAGGTGTGGTCACCCATGGTGACTACGTCACCAATCTGATTGTCACACTGTTCTCAAATAATGATTGTTGTGATTGTAATGTATGAACCACCACTTGCGACCACATCAGTACCTTGTGAAGCCACCGCTCACAAGGGTAACATCTGCCAGTCTTCTCGTCATGCTGGCAATCAGAAGTCGAATTCTCAGCATTGGAATCCTCTGCCATCCCTCATGAAGTGCCTGCGTCAAATCCTGCAGAACAGGAGGATTTCTAGCTCGAACTTGGCCTCCCAGATAGTCGCAAAGATGTTATATAAAACCAGGGATAATATACAACGTTATATAGTCTCACTGATAAAACATATAAACACATCGAATATAATTCGATGGCATATAGCGATGACTATGGGACGACTGGCAAGGAAAGAGTTATCACGTTGGTATTCTTCCTGTCGATAACCTTGATTATTGTATGTCCAGTGTACTGTAATCCAATTTGCAGTCATACGAAACCATTACTGAGCCACTACCAAAGGAGTTGGTAATATAATATTAACAAACTTTAAGGATAACAACTTATTCCTGCGTGACAACGGTACAAGAATTTGTATCGAAACCTTGCACTCACGAAATAGAAGACGTTATCCGTTTGTGAAAATGGTACTTCCCGACTTCTAAAATTACACTAAAAGAAGTCTGGTGATATGCCTGGCACTCTAGCGTCTCCATACGCGACAACGGCCGTCGGTAACGTGTAGATGATGAATTATATGCCAAGTCGCCACGTCCTCAAGTTCTGCACCACGCCTCCCTGTCCGTGCCCATCTCCATGGAAGGGATGTCTTTACGACCTTCCCTCAGACCAGCAACCTGCAGACCCTGTTTGATGGAGAGCCGGATTCCCTCTCGCCATTGCCAGTGCAGTTCTTTGGCATTGCGTCTTGGTTGACGAATTAGGACTCTGTCATCACGGTCATTGGTCATGTCAAGAAAAGTTAATATTTAGTTCTGCCGTCTTTTAAATCAGTTCAGAAAAGTGTAGTGCACATAGCCCACTGACATACATGTATATACACCCCCATATGCTTGGCGTCTTTACAGCACGTGATCATGCGATCCACAGTTATGCTAGTATTCTTGCTAGTGTACGATCGCCTGTTTGGACAAAAATTTGCAAAATGCCCTTGGATTCAGATGGTGCTTAATTAATGCACATAGGTAGAAACCTATGATTGGGGGTTCGAATCCCAGTTCGGTGTGTCTGCAGGTTTGTCGGCACCATACATGTGCACCCGTGTTTCACCAAAGTGGTGAACCTCGGGACTGTAAGCTGACACTGCCTGATATAACTGGAATACTGATTATTGACCTCCCTGATAAAATGGCGTAAATGACAGTCGCTACTCTTGAGCTCACTTCAGACTCTGTTCGTGTGAGAGAGATACCCTTGAGACATGGATGGTGAGTGATTAAGTGGCTGATGTGGAATAGAACAGCTCTCAACGTGTCGTCTTGCTCCGACTCATTGCTGTCGGGTACACTCGCATGAATCACCGGCGACATGGCCGTTATCACAGATAAGTTATGTAGGTGCAGGTACGATAAGAGATAAATATACCAGCAAAAATAATTTTTTTACATCTCATTCCTTTCTTGTGTGTCATACCCTATACTCTGTTACGTGACTCACACCGTACTACCTAAACACGTGTCGTACACTACTACCTCCTCGTGTCGTATACCGTCCTCCCTAACCACGTGTCGTACACTACTACCCTCCTCGTGTCGTATACCGTCCTCCCTAACCACGTGTCGTACACTACTACGTGACTACTACCTAACCTCGTGTCGTATACCGTACGTTGGGCCTCCCTCGTGTCCTATACCACGTGTCGTACACTACTACCTCCTCGTGTCGTATACCGTCCTCCCTAGCCACGTGTCGTACACTACTACCTCCTCGTGTCGTATACCGTCCTCCCTAGCCACGTGTCGTACACTACTACCTCCTCGTGTCGTATACCGTCCTCCCTAGCCACGTGTACCGTACTACTAGCCACTACTACCTCCTCGTGTCGTATACCGTCCTCCCTAACCACGTGTCGTACACTACTACCTCGCCATTGTACGTATCTCGTAGCCACGTGTCGTATACCGTGCGTTCCTCGCCACGTACGTACACCCCCACGTGTCCACGCCACGTCCGTACACCATCCTCCCTATCCACTCGACTACCTCCTCGTGTCGTATACCGTCCTCCCTAGCCACGTGTCGTACACCTACACGTCATCCCTACTACCGTACCCTAACCACGTGTCGTACACTACCTCTTCGTACGTATACCGTCCGTCAGTCCTAGCCACGTGTCGTACACTACTACCTCCTCGTGTCGTATACCGTCCTCCCTAGCCACGTGTCGTACCGTATCCTCCCTAGCCACGTGTCGTGTCGTACTGTCCTCCTACCGTACACCATCCTCCTACCCACGTGTCGTATACCGTCCTCCCTCGCCACGTGTCGTACACCACCTACCTCGTGTCGTACCGTCGTATACACCATCCTCCCTAGCCACGTGTCGTACCGTGCTGTCTCGCCACGTATCGTACACCATCCTCGTGTCGTATCGTATACCGTCCTCCCCTAGCCCACGTGTCGTGTCAGTGCACACTACGTACACCTCCTCGTGTCGCATACCGTCCTCCCTAGCCACGTCCTACACTACTAACCACGTGTCGTATACCGTCCTCCCTAACCACGTGTCCTACACTACGACCTCCTCGTACGTATAGCGTCCTCCTAACCACGTGTCGTACACTACTACCTCTCGTGACGTATATCTACCGTCCCTCTTCCTAGCCACGTGTCGTACACTACTACCTCCTCGTGTCGTATACCGTCCTCCCTAGCCACGTATCGTACACCATCCTCCTAGTACCCACGTGTCGTATACCGTCCTCTCTCGCCACGTATCGTACACCATCCTCCCTAGCCACGTGTCTTATACTGTCCTCTCTCGCCACGTTTCGTACACCATCCTCCCTAGCTACGTGTCGGATACCGTCCCTCTCGCCACGTATCGTACACCATCCTCCCTAGCCACGTGTCGTATACCGTGCTGTATCTCGCCACGTATCGTACACCATCCTCAGCCAGCCTCGTGTCGTGTACACCATCCTCCCTAGCCACGTATCGTATCGTACACCGTCATCCTCCCTAGCCACGTGTCGAATACCGTCCTCCCTAGCCACGTGTCGTGCACCTCCTCTCGCAAATATCGTACACCATCCTCCTAGCCACGTGTCGTATACCGTCCTCTCTAGCCACGTATCGTACACCATCCTCCCTAGCCGTCGGATACCGTCCTCTCTCGCCACGTATCGTACACCATCCTCCCTAGCCACGTGTCGTATACTGTGCTCTCTCGCCACGTGTCGTACACCATCCTCCCTAGCCACGTGTCGTATACTGTGCTGTCTCGCCACGTATCGTACACCATCCTCCCTAGCCACGTGTCGAATACCATCCTCCCTCGCCACGTATCGTACACCATCCTCTCTAGCCACGTATCGTCCACTACTACCTCCTGGCCCATGTCCCATGCCCAACACCGTCGCAACATGCCTATGGCGATATGTTACATATCACATTCGCTTTTCAAACGTTTGGACACCCTGCTCTAGCCGGTCCTCTGCCTGACTGTGACACTCTGTTCCCTTCCAGCTGACACACGCCCTAACCTCCTAACCCAGGATGCATATTGCCAGCCGCTCCGGTGTGCGATTTTAACTTATGCAGCATATTGCTTTAATTAAAACATAATTGAATTGTTTAAATTAACAAGAACCACCATGATATATGGTATTGATTGTATTAATTATATTTGTTCCCGACCTGATATTTAAGGAGGGTCGTTTCCTGTAAGTTACATTAGGTTCAATAGCATGACCCGTGTGTGTATGTGCAACCAGAACAGATATTTCGTAAGCATGTGTTTAAGTCAATCAGAGCACCATTCAATAACTGTCGACTCAGCTTGAACACTCCAGACAGCTTGATAAACTCAGGTAGACAATACACGTACATGTAGATACCTTCCTGCGTCAGTTGCAGTAGCGGCGTCAGAGGCGGAGATAAATCAACAACCGCTACACCTTTGAACCCGGCAAACAACGGTGCTCGCCATCAGAATGAAAGTTTCACTGGCTGAAGTTTTTTCCTTGTGGCTGAAAGTAATATTCTGCTATCTGGAATCTCTGTACCACGTGGTTGTCCCGCATCCTAGACAAGATGTCCGCGGAAAGAAAGTGCTAATTACCGGTGCTGGACACGGCATTGGCCGGGAACTGTCACTGGAGTTTGCCCGCCTCGGAGCGTCGCTCATACTGTGGGATATCAACAAGGTAAAATCACGGGAGATATAGTATATTATATCACGCATATCACGCTTAGGAATGATAAAGTTTCTTAAGCATAGGCAATGGATTACCCTTGCGTCGAGGGACAGGCAGTAGTACGGGGAAGAGTAACTGTGCTTCACAGAAAGTTCAATTCATTATTAATTGACTTTGAACTTTAAAGAAGCATGATCTTCAAGACTTCACCTCGGTTTTAAGGCAGGGATTTACAATTTGATATGTTGATACTTAGATATTTGCGTGTTTGTTGGGAGAATGATCCTGATACACGGTTTTTTTTCAATGTGAACACCATACAGTGATTGTTTAGGTATCAGATTTCCATTAAAACGCCTTTGTTTAGCCCTAAATAACACTGACACAAACAGGTATTGCCAATCTTTGTTTGGTTCATCCAAATACAACATAATCGCTTTGGAGACGTGTTTTTACGTTAGACGTCACGTCAACTAGACAGCCATATTGGTTGTCCACGTAATCGGTCCAGACTGAAACAGTAACAGTTTGGACGCCTACAATTGTCAAGTGAGCGATTGGTTGTGAGCGATGTGTATTACGCCGCTTGGTCCAGCAATATCCAGACAACGGACATAAGACATTTACACATCGAACCGGGTTCCTGTTGCAACGCATTATCCAACTTCCTAAATCCACCCGTTTCATAATAGTATCCACGAACATAGGGAGACCTCACGTATGCCATATAGAATTGCTAACTTGTTTAGACGTCATCAATAAAGAAGTCATAGACGATGTGAATGTACGTAATACAACACTTGGGTTGGATATGGAAGAGTTTTGTCCAGGTTTCGTGGTAACACAGAGTGAAGGAGAAGAATATATATATTTTCATTATGGGGAGTGAGTGAGTGAGTATGGTTTTACGCCGCTTTTAGCAATATTCCAGCAATATCACGGCGGGGGGACACCAGAAATGGGTTTAACATATTGTACCCATGTGGGGAATCGAACCCGGGTCTGTAGCGTGACGAGCCAACGCTTTAACCACTCGGTTACCCCACCGCCCCTTTTCATTATGGTGTCACATAAAGATATTCTGTAAAATATGCAATGTCCGACCAAACAGACCATGACACACTCAAGATACCACATACAAAAAAACATGCAATTAATAGTAGCTATGGGCGACACGTGTTAATTGTAGATCTCGACCGACCAGTGAACAGTATAATGCATTTACTTACAGGAGAACAATGAAGGAACGGCTGATGAAGTCCGTCATATTGGTGCCACAGTCCACACCTACATCTGTGACGTCACCTCCACCGACGACGTACACAACACTGCCGACCGTGTGCGGAGGGAGGTGGGCAACGTGGACATCTTGGTCAACAACGCCGGCATCCTGTACGGTGGGCCGGTTCTCGACATGCAGGAGAAGCATATCCGTCGCACATTTGAAGTGAACACCTTAGCTCATTTCTGGGTAAGAATTGGACAAGATGGTGGTGGTGGTGGAATTGGGTTTAACGTCGTGCTTGAGAATATTTCGCTCATATGACGACGTGCATGCGTGTGTATGTGTATGTGCGGCTGCTTGTACTAGCCCAGACTGAAGCTGGTTTTATAGTGCTAGCCCACTGAGATACCATGCCGCAGTGAAGCATGAATACCCCACTCGGACACATTATACTGACTCCGAGCCGACCGGTGTCCTCCCATTTGTGAGAACTCCCAGTTGTGAGACACATTAATTAATGGTTCAGTGCACATAAGTGGTGTTTCCACATCCCTACAACGAAAGTGGGATCAGCCCAGTTGTTGAAGAGTACCCACAGGAGTCATTGATGAGTAGATTAATGAAATAGATTATCAAAGATTCTATTTACACAGAAGAAATAGTTCATTAAATATTTTATTTATTCAGAAGAAAATGTAATTATGATAACACATTTTTATTGACTATTGTGAAGTTTGAAAGTCATTTTGGTTTAAATATATTTAATTAATTTGTAAGTACATATAAATATATACAGATTGCATCAAATACAACTATTCTCTAAGTAGTCATAATTAGAGAGTTACAGTTGTGTGTGTCTAACAAGCTATTGTAGGAATATAAATCAATCATGAGAAGGTTGTTGAGTTAATTTAGGTATTTTCCTGAGAAAATGATATAATTGTCTTGATGATATAATCGTGGACGGATTCAGCTATTTTCTGGTTTACACAAGGAGTAAATTCTTTGTTTCCGTTCCAAATGGTATCCAGGTTATAACGGGTAGTGTCGGGTAAAAAGGTTTGGCATAAGAGTCAGTTCGACTGTAAATTCCTATTATTTTAGAGTTATTTCTTAAACTATATCTTGTAGTTTCGGAGACGGATGTAAATCTGAGTAGGTAAATTAATTTCTCTTTCAAATGATCACGAAGTTACCTACACAAAGTGTTTAATTTTTAAAGACATTTACCTGAGTATGTTAATCAATTTATCTTATAAAGTTTCATTAAGACTTCCACAAGATGCAGTTACATAGCAAATCAGGAATACAGGGGGAGTATGGTGTGTTTTCTTTGTTAATTACCTACTCCACTGTCTCATAACTGGGAGTCTCACAATTGGGAGTTCTCACAGCCGACCAGTCCTTGTTGTACCCATTAATGCCGAGCGCCAGGCAGGGACCAACAAGTACCATATTTTAACGTCTTTTGGTATGACGCGGTCGGGGATCGAACCCGCGACCTTCCGCACTCCGGGCGGACGCTCTAACCACTACACCACGGAGGCGGTCAATTGGACAAGGACCATGACAACCATGATAAAGTTCATGTCTTAAATGGGTACAGTATTATCCGGTGATCAATAGAGATCACAGGGAGCCATCTCATAGGTGTACCTATTATATGTTATATCATTATATAATACTATTATACAGTTCGTCTCGATCGATCAGTCCGTGCCTGCGCTTTTATGCTGAACTTCTACAGGAACATTCGAAATATTTCATCCCATGATGACAAAATGTGACACAAAAAATCTCACGGACTAATCGAAATTTTCCGTATCGAACACCTGGCCTTGTGGATAGTGCTTCTTTCCGGGTCAGTGGTTCGATCCCCGTATCAGACGTTAAGGTTCTTGTTACCTCGCCTGGTGCTCGGAATAAAGGGGATAGAACAATAACTTGAAGGTCAGCATACTCATATCAGGGTGATATATCACTGCTAACTGCGGCAAGGTGTCTCAGTGGGCTGACACTATTAACTGGGCGTTAGTACAAACAGCCACACATGCATGTACATGCACACCACTATATACGTGCAACAGTCTGGAACGTGACCTTAAATCGTCACCTCATCTCATTACTTCGCCGTATCAGTGCTAGAACAGCCAAAATAAGGTGACGGGCGAAAGAAAGTATACCAACGTTGTCGAAAAGTTACCTGTCTGAAAACAGCAGTTAGAACACTGCAAACCTAATAGGTCTAAAACACAATTATAATACATGTATAACACATCGCCATCGACTAACCTGTCGATCACATCCTGTCTAGCAATCTCCAAATAGAAGTGTATACTTTCTGTTGTCCGTCAGTGTATTTCGATTTTGCCTGTTTAAATCTTTCGAATTCGTTTTTCCATCGAGTGAGAATTCCATAAAGACGTGTATGTTGGCAGACAGTTCGCGAGTTCCTGCCAGCCATGCTGGAGGCTGACAGTGGCATCATCGTCAACATCTCCTCCGGCACCGCCAAGTCAGGAACAGCGTTCCTCGTTGACTACAGGTCTGGGCAGTAACTTCAAGTAATATCCACGTTTACAAGTCGAGATGGGATAAGAGCCCGTATTTGGCTAACTGAAATCCAAACATTTTGCACTTTTTTAAAACTTCAGCCACTTTTAAACGATATATTTTTTCCTTACACTTACAAATTACTCTGCTGACATGATAAAATACTACTGCACAGCACAAATGAGTGAAAAAAGATGATTTTTCTATTAACATTGCCGCAAAATATTGTTGTCTTCACAAAATAATGATTCCTGAAACATGCTAAGTTTGGCCATATTTGCATTTACTTTTTCTTATTTGGCTCATTCATTTAGTTCAAAACATATATGTGTAGTTATGAACAAAGTTGAAAACAATATATTTATATCTGCTGACTTTAACGATTTGTGAAAGATCTGTTTTCCCGCGTGAGCGGTCATCTCATTGTTAACTACCTGAGAAGTTGACCTTTATCATAAAGTGTAGGTGTGTAATGTGAATAACGACTTGCTTGCGTTTGAATTTGGTGCTATGACATTTGCTGTTTTTCAAATAAAATGTAATGAATATAGCTTAAAAATAAATCTCATTTGTACTTAAAATGTGTATAAATTCAGACTTGATCTCGTCACTATATGGCTGGAATAATGCCGATGTGACGTAAAACCCAACCCAGCCCAACTCAACTTTAACGATTTGAAGCAGATGTTTTGATTTCATATATGTCACCTCACTCCTATACTGTCATGTAGATCTGTTGATCTTAAAGTTATCTTCGTTTGTTGTGTCCTAATAATTATGTTGCCCGAATGTGTGTCTGCAGACAAGTATGCAGTGTTCATAGATCAAAATCACGTGTAGGTGTTAAAACGCAAGCATACGCCCTCCCCCTTTTTGATCAGAATATGTTTATCCACCACTTGCATTGTATACTAAGTAGAGTTAGGACCCTTCATTCCAGCTCGTCCAAGTATGCTGTATTCGGCTTCACAGAGGCCCTGAGGGAGGAGATTGACCGACTGGGGAAGCCGGGGGTGCAGACCACCGTGGTCTGTCCCAGCTTCGTGGACACAGGACTATGTAAATACCCGAAGGACAGGTGCGTGTCATCCCAGACTGATTCACATACAAAACTTTCTCGAGAGATTTGTTATGCCGTAATGGATTATATCACCACAGTTGACTTTGGGGAGTTGAGGATTAGTAAGTCCGGATCCGGTTGTCGTGAGTTCGAATTCACCCTTGCTATAAACTTAAGTTTGTCAGAATAGAAGCGAACGTAAAATATACCTTGACAAAATGCAGTTCCACAGTGGCTCCGTTGAATTAGAACTACAGCGCTTTTAGAGATGCGAAAAATGAGCAGAAAAAACTCGATTATTGGTGTTATTGGATGTGTGATGATTTTGTGAGTTTAAAAGACCACGGCTTAAAATATAATAGAGCAGGTCGCCACGAGTGAGTGTTTTTGTTTAATATTGACAACTGCGTATCGCTTATAGTAGGGAACAGCTCTTTTACAACCGCGAATTTGTATCTGGTTTTAACGTACCAATTTGTGAATTAGGATTTAATGGATTCAAGGGACGATACCCTCAAGCATCGCTGAACCATCCATGTCCCACTAAGCCATTCCCTTACCTACCCAAAACCCTGTTGACTTAATACGTCCCTCCTCCAGGTTCAACCCCATCTTGACCCCTAAGGAAACTGCCCTTGGTACTATTGACGGGATGCTGAGAGGGGAGAACGTCGTGTATGTGCCGAGGAGACTCGGTGTTCTGGTCAGGCTAGGCGCGTGAGTATTGATTCAGGCGAAGGCAGACAAATCTCTTCTAAAGGAAGAATAAATACACTAGAAATAGATAAACTAGATTTCTATAAATAGTTTTAAACTTTTAATAGGGAAGTTTCGATGATTTTAATGTTTGTGATCTACACCTACGTATGAAATATACCACTATTGGAGTTGTCAACACATTGCCTGCACACCAGGCAAACCGTTGCAATACTGAAAGACAAATCCACTCAGAACATAAGAGGGTTGAATGCATCAAAAGATACAGTCTGTGATGGGTGTATTCATTCATGCTTCATGATCTATTTGTGACGTGTATATTGTCTCCCTATTTCGTGTTGCCATCTATCTGTGACGTGTATATGGGCAACATATGAGTGATGCCATCTGTCTGTGACGTACATATTGGCAACAGATATGAGTGATGCCATCTGTCTGTGACGTGCATATTGTCAACTGATATGAGTGATGCCATCTGTCTGTGACGTGCATATTGTCAACAGATATGAGTGATGCCATCTGTCTGTGACGTGTATATTGTCAACTGATATGAGTGATGTCATCTGTCTGTGACGTGCATATTGTCAACTGATATGTGTGATGTCATCTGTCTGTGACGTGTATGTTGTATCTGAGATCTGCAATTTTTCATCTTCATACGAGATGCATGTTGCCTATGACGTGTTTAACAAATTTATTGACACGTGCCATGTCTAGTTATCTTCGTGTACACGTTCATGATGCCTGCTGCTGCGTTGTTGTAGGCTGATGCCGGAGACGCTGAAGCCGCTGCTGAAACAGTTCTCTCAAATCGGAATCGATCCCCAATACGACGTCAAACAAGACTAAGCTGATGGATCTTGACCAGTGACCAGTGCTTGGCTGTAGCAAACAGCAGGTTAATTAGTGGACTCACCTTCAGATTGATTTAACCTCCAAGTACCAATTATATCGAATCAAATTATTTTCAGTAATTTGTTTCTGAATTTAAAATCATTTCTTGTAATGTGTTCAAAGTCAGACTTTACCTGGAAAATCGGTCTAAGATAGGTGAGATATGATGTCATTGATGGCCAGTCGCTGTGAGGAGAGACTGAATATTATTTTACAGCGCAGTCAGCATTAGCACACCTGTATCAGGGCGGCCCACACCAAGTTACTTATTGTGAACACCCTATATTAATAAACCAGCTGTTACAAGCATGTCGATATCTTTATCCCGGAAACCCTACCCGGGACACAAGTCTAAGGCACTGAGGCTCTATTTTCCTCGAGAACACCTAAGGTAATACAGACATTAGATGCAGGGCCCCAGAATCACTGTCCAAGAATCTTCAAATGAAGACAATTTTAAGCTTCGAGAGCGGGCATGTATTCTGCAGAGGAATCCAGGAGGACAAGAACTGGGTACTGTACATCAACTATGTCCCGTAGTCCCAGGATTTTGAACAGCCTGGTGTGTGTCAACCAGAACATGATACGAATATAAAGGGAGATAACTGGGGATAACCAAACGACTATGATTCTGAGTGCTCAATCTCCCTGTACCGACAAACCTGTTCACCTTCTTGCTATCGGAAGTTGTTACTTTTCTTGTATATCATTAAACCTCTCATCAGGCTGCCACAGGCTGTTCAGTTATCTTGGGAAGAGGTAACAGGTTAAACAATATTCCAGTTATATCGCACCGAAACCCTAAGGTAACTCAGGTCGTTGTAGGTTTAACGAGGCTGGTTTTCTCTGCAAGCCGTCAACTGATTGTGGGTGTGGCTGCCCGTGTTTGTCCGTACTGATGCCGGCTATAAAGTGCCAGCCCATCGTGATACCATATGTCGCTGTTCTAACATGGATACCTTGCTTGACTATACTGACGGGACGGCCAGCCCTTGCTTTATCCCCTGAATGAGTGACCGACTAACGGGATCGGGTGGTCAGGCTCGCCGACTTAATTGACACATCATGCACATGTCATCGTATCCCAATTGTGTAATATGTTGTTGATCAATGGATTGTCTGGTCCAGACTCGATTATTTAGACCGCTGCAATACAGCTGGGAATTTGCTGAGTGCAGCGTTGCACAACAAACCCTAAATGAGTGAGTGAGTGATGTTTCTGAACTCTACTTCGCCTTTAAGATGGGGTGAATTCTATGTGGTCGCAGATATGTGTCCCTTGGTTGTGTGATAATCCAGCTATTGTAGGTTCGAATCCCAGCTGCGCCTTGACTGACTGACTGAGTTTGGTTTTACGCCGCTTTTAGCAATATTCCAGCAACATCACGGCGGGGGACACCAGAAATGGGCTTCACACATTGTACCCATGTGGGGATTCGAACCCGGGTCTTCGGCGTGACGAGCCAACGCTTTAACCACTAGGCTGTCCCAACGCCCCAGCTGCGCTTTGATAATGAACATGTGTGTGTGCATGTGCTTGTGAGTGAACTAAGTTAAAGTGGTGGCTGCCTGACTTCTGTAATTTTATTGAAAACACTCCAATTGTGAGAATTCGATAATGTCATACGCATCACAATAGATTCATCGTTGTGATCGTTCAACCCCGCGTTTGTGTACAGCGACACGTGACATACGTAGCATGAAAAGTCAAATATTAAAATTTAGATATTTCATAAATTCACTTGTTACCATGAATATGTTGTATTCCATGCGCCTGAATTCGCTGTAGTAACAGTTCTCGTAGATTAATGCTTAGTCTCTGAATATATATAATTTTGATAGTAACAAACAAGCCCATTTAAATTGAAAAGGAGCCCCAGGGAGACCAGAGATGCAGAACCTGAGGAAATCTAGACTTGCTTTATTTAAGGCTTTAGCACTGCAGAGAGGGCTTGGCAGTAGGGAAAAAATGTGGTTCAGGGACTGTGAGACAGACTACAGTTCTCGTACTGTGGGGTGTTTCAGTGGTGCGACGAAGCTTATCGCCGACTGGCTCACTGATCTCAGACTGTTGGGTGACCATCGTTCGACCTTGGGTATGACCTCTGTCCCAACCACGGTGACGTCACACACACGCTCTCGTGGCTTGTCCAAATAAGGAACAAAAATAATCAGCTTTGATAAGCCGTTAGTGTACCCCACAGGTAGATACACGAGTGTAATTTGGGAAACGTTCAAATATTTCTCGCGATATAGGAGTTATATATAGATACACGAGAAGCGAGAATTATCTCGTGAATGTCATGAATGGTCTCGACACGTATGCGTACGAGATGCGTTGGTTTTTCCTGTTATTGTCAACCTTTAGAAGGTCGGGTGACAAAAATGACATACCCTCTACGGCAGCATCTACGATGTTAATCATTATCTGTAAAAATCCTATCCGCAACGAGCAGATGAACAGTGATTTAACTGGAGCCTCTACCGGGTCAACACTGAGTAGGTCGTGAACAGGTTGTGCGGCATACTTCCTTAAACGTTCACAGTGTGAATGCTGCAAGATACAGTTCATTCACCTCACAATTATGAAAAGGTGCACGGTAACTGGATCACCTGGGTTTGTTATACTTAAGGAATCAGGGTGACACACCCTGGCATTGCAACGACATGATTCGTAGTCTTAAACTGTTGGTTCCTTACTGGGACGGCGGGTTAAGGTAGATGTAAAACTGTTGGCTCGTCACAAGGACGGCGGGTTAAGGTAGATGTAAAACTGTTGGTTCCTCACAGGGTAGGCGGGTTAAGGTAGATGTAAAACTGTTGGTTCCTCACAGGGACGGCGGGTTAAGGTAGATGTAAAACTGTTGGTTCCTCACAGGGACGGCGGGTTAAGGTAGATGTAAAACTGTTGGCTCCTCACAGGGACGGCGGGTTAAGGTAGATGTAAAACTGTTGGTTCCTCACAGGGACGGCGGGTTAAGGTAGATGTAAAACTGTTGGCTCGTCACAGGGACGGCGGGTTAAGGTAGATGTAAAACTGTTGGTTCCTCACAGAGTAGGCGGGTTAAGGTAGATGTAAAACTGTCGGTTCCTCACAGGGTAGGTGGGTTAAGGTAGATGTAAAACTGTTGATTCCTCACAGGGTAGGTGGGTTAAGGTAGATGTAAAACTGTTGGCTCGTCACAGGGTAGGCGGGTTAAGGTAGATGTAAAACTGTTGGCTCGTCACAGGGACGGCAGGTTAAGGTAGATGTAAAACTGTTGATTCCTCACAGGGTAGGCAGGTTAATGTAGATGTATAACTGTTCGCTCGTCACAGGGACGGTGGGTTAAGGTAGATGTAAAACTGTTGATTCCTCACAGGGACGGCGGGTTAAGGTAGATATAAAACTGTTGGCTCGTCACAGGGACGGCAGGTTAAGGTAGATGTAAAACTGTTGGCTCGTCACAGGGATGGCAGGTTAAGGTAGATGTAAAACTGTTGGTTCCTCACAGGAACGGCGGGTTAAGGTAGATGTAAAACTGTTGGTTCCTCACAGGAACGGCCGGTTAAGGTAGATGTAAAACTGTTGGTTCCTCACAGGAACGGCGGGTTAAGGTAGATATAAAACTGTTGGTTCCTCACAGGAACGGCGGGTTAAGGTAGATGTAAAACTGTTGATTCCTCACAGGGACGGCAGGTTAAGGTAGATGTAAAACTGTTGGCTCGTCACAGGGACGGCGGGTTAAGGTAGATGTAAAACTGTTGGCTCGTCACAGGGACGGCGGGTTAAGGTAGATGTAAAACTGTTGGCTCGTCACAGGGACGGCAGGTTAAGGTAGATGTAAAACTGTTGGTTCCTCACAGGGACGGCGGGTTAAGGTAGATGTAAAACTGTTGGCTCGTCACAGGGACGGCGGGTTAAGGTAGATGTAAAACTGTTGGCTCGTCACAGGGTAGGCGGGTTAAGGTAGATGTAAAACTGTTGATTCCTCACAGGGTAGGCGGGTTAAGGTAGATGTAAAACTGTTGGCACGTCACGGGGACGGCGGGTTAGTGTAGATGTAAAACTGTTGTCTCGTCACAAGGTAGACGGGTTAATATAGATGTAAAACTGTTGGCTCGTCACAGGGACGGCGGGTTAATGTAGATGTAAAACTGTTGGTTCCTCACAGGAATGTAGATGTAAAACTGTTGGCTCGTCACAGGGACGGCGGGTTAATATAGATGTAAAACTGTTGGCTCGTCACAGGAATGTAGATGTAAAACTGTTGGCTCGTCACAGGGACGGCGGGTTAATGTAGATGTAAAACTGTTGGCTCGTCACAGGAATGTAGATGTAAAACTGTTGGCTCGTCACAGGGACGGCGGGTTAATGTAGATGTAAAACTGTTGGCTCGTCACAGGAATGTAGATGTAAAACCGTTGGCTCGTCACAGGAATGTAGATGTAAAACCGTTGGCTCGTCACAGGGACGGCAGGTTAATGTAGGAGTAAACTGTTCTTTCGTCACGGGCGTTGTCACCGCCGTAATGCGACTAGAACATTCCTAAAGCAGGTGTGAAAGCATACTTACTCACTCACTCAACACCCTCTATTCATACAAGAAAACCGAGAGGTGGCCGCGACAGTTATAGAACAGTGAGGCATGCGTATCATCTCTGTCAGAGGGTTAGCCTCTTATACATTCCTGACCTCGCTGACCCGACCATGAGCCAAGACCAGAGCAAACCAGAAATATATGTGCCGAGACTATAGTCTGTTTGCAGTGAAAACGTACCGATGAATTTCACTTTATACAAATTATGAGGTAAAATTATGAGGATTCGCAATCTTAATTTCACTTTATTCGATTTACTTTTTTGTTTAAAGTGAAATTCATCGGTACGTTTTCACTGCAAACAGACTATAATTGCGGAAACATTGGTCAAAGCATTCTCTAAGGTCATGGGGTGTACTTCCATGTTGTACCGGTGCTATCTTTGAGAACCTTTTCCAGTTGAGTAACATCTTGCATGTGGAATGTACATAGTTTACAGAAAAAAGCTGTTTTAAATGTCTTAATAATAATAAATATCTAAATCATGGCACATATCTTATAATGATACATATTTTAATAATGATACATATTTTAATAATGAGGAATAGCTTAATAATGATAAATATCTTAACGATGATATCTTTATCATGATAATATCTTATTTATGACAAATATCTTAATTATGATAAAACGTAGCAAGAGACTCTTCATTTTTTAGAAACTGCAGTAATCCACAAAATTTGGGTCAAAATGATACCGATAAATCATAATCTAACTCCAAATCGGTTCATGATCAAACATTCTGTTCAACGCATAATGTAATGAAAACATCAGACTAACTCTGGAAAAAAGTTTCATAACGTTTGTCTCCAAAATAGAAAAGTTACTTAACAAACTATCATTATTTTGTTTTGATTTTCCGTGTGAAGTTTTACGAGGGTAGAGTAACAGTGCTATGACAGGCTATTTGTCTCTAGTGTCACAGTCAACTTCTAGTATGAGATAAATTAATGCATGTCTACTCTCGGTTCACCAAGCAACGAATGTACAATTCTCGGCAAACTGTAAGTTTCTTGCATTTGTATTTGAGTGAGTGAGTATGTTTTTTAAGCGCTGTTATCATCTATAACTGTGTTCCACGTGAGATATAGCTTGTGTGAGATCAAACAAATCTGTACAATGCCCTGACGTCATCAATTACATGGCTCACAATGCTATGACGTCGTAAACTTGATGACGTGACAATGCGATGACATCGCTGCACTGCAAGTCTAATGGCAGTACCGTGTTCAGAAATGTACATTTTGTTATTGAAAACTAATGAAGAGTGATTTTTGATGATAAATAAAATCTCACTCGCGTGTGAGCAATACACAACGAGGGACACCAGAAATGGGCTTCACACATTGTACCCATGTGGGGAATCGAACCCGGGTCTTCGGCGTGACGAGCAACCACTTCCAGATCCAGATGTCTTTTTCCAAATCAATCTTCCCCAGTACTGACATCACTTAATTCAAAACCATTCATTACCATATCAACCAATACATCATGATACACCAACACCACCACCACATACAATGTTATATCATTGCCTTATTTTGCTTCAGCCTTCATGCATTGATATTCCATATGTCTGTGTAATGTACACTACACCCGTTCCTTTAATCTAAGGTATTGTAATACATAAACTGACGTACAAAAGAAAGTACACACCTGGTGTTTTGGGATTATTTGAAAAGTGTTGTGATTTTGACTGGCAACTTCGCAATTGGGCACGATATTTGGGGTGTTTTGGCAATATATTAGGAATGAGTGTGGCTCATATATCACTGTAAAAACTCTTTTCAAAACATTTACCTCGCTCTTTGGAAAGTAATCCAAACGCACCGGGTGTGTACTTTCTTTTGTTCGTCAGTTTAGTATCTTATGATACCTTGGAGAGGAATAGGAAGGATAATTTCAGCAAAACCGTTACTCGAGATAGAAGCTACGTATACGGAACAACACATTGACCGATGAAGATACCCCTTTTGTTAATTATTATGTGCAGTATGTGTCCTTCCTGTTATATTTCTTTCATAAGAAAATATAGATGCATCCCAGATGGGTAAATAACGGCAGCAACATGACAACACACCGGACTCAGTGTCACTTCAGTTTTAAACATTGCTCATTAACTAACGTATATATATTATTGATTCTGAAAAAGAGGCGTCACACAGTTAAATAGACGTGCCACAGGAATATCTCACTAGGCAGTAACCCTGCATTATATGCGAGGTATTACAGAAACAGTCACCATAGTAACCAGGAATGTATTACACCTGATATCTAGATGTATCCAACGACAGAAAACAGACATAAAGTTAAAAAGGATGAGACATTTATTATGAGACAACTTAATTAATAATTGTGCTTCCGAGAGTGATATGTACAGTTGCATGCCAATATGGAACAATAAATTAAACACTGCGTGGTATATACATTAACATGTGTTAAATGCACATTCTTAACAGTACGTCAATGGTTCAACACCCCTAACAAAGTCCGGTTCCAGTTTCTATATAGTGAGTGAGGTAGTTAGTGGGGGTGGGGGTTAGGTGCATAGCTCCTCATATGGAATATTACTGAGCAGGATATGTTCAGATCTAGTTAAGTGAGTGAAAGACACCCACTGAAAAACATTCACAGAGACAGGGTCACAACCTCAGTGTCATATACATCACAAGGATGATTGGTTCACTCAGTAAGGCTTGATCTGAGATCAACATGCACTCTGTCACACAGAGAAGTCGCTGTGACGTACACACATGTCTGTCAATGAGATTCAATCACAACCTTGTCGTGAGCCATATTTCTCAAACACTAACGCTTCAAAAGTCCTCACACCAGCGGCGACGTCTACGGTTTGACGACGTTATAGCGGCAGACACTGCGACGTAATGTAGTACAGGTGCACGGTGTTGGACGCGAGGCCAACCAAGGTCAACAACCCGCTCATTCCGTGACATCGTCTGAACGTGCGGTAGGCGGCTGAATATTCTGGGTTCTTTTTCATTTCCTTCATATCGGCGTAACCAATGACGTCACCGACACCTGCCTCCACCTCCATTTGAAACGTCACCAACATGGCGCGAACTATGAGTGGCGCTAGAATCAGGGAATTCAGAGCCGCTGACACGAAGCCGGCGATGAGCATTGAGATCTGCAAACAATGAACATAAAACGTTAAGACTTGGTTCCTTCTAAACCTAAATACTTTTCGTCAAATGTGCTTGATACTTGAATGACCAGGGTGCGTTATTTGAACGTAATTACTACATATGGTTAGTCATACCCAAACGACGTTGAAATATTGTACTTGTTTTACGCTGTCTACAGTTCGGCATTAAGGGGATAAATTAAGGGCTGTTCGGCTCAAATTAAGTACACTGACTTTTTGTGCGTTTTTATATTCTCAGTAGATTCGTGTCTTAAGTCCCTAACATTGAAACGTTAAAAATATGTTCCTCGTTCATGGAGACATATCTGATAACATTTATAACATATCTAAAGGTTTTGCTCCATCCATGCAGTTCAAGTGTTAAGTACATGTGTCAAAACCTCATCATTTGCAACTTTGTGCCCGTTGAGCGACACCCACCTGTATCACGTGACTTCTCTGCATGGCCTCGAGGGGATGCTGAATGACGAACGTCCCCAACATGATGGATGACGTCACGAGGCTCCACAGGAAGAACATTGGGAAGAGGCGTGTCTGAACCCGGCCGAACATGTGTCGTGGGAGATTGTAGAACATCGTCAGACCTGGAGACAAGGAAATACATCAATGTCGGGGATACCTTTCACACCCCTTCTACATTGACATAGTTATTGGTTCATTCTCGGTTTCACGTTTTTCACGTTTTACCTTTCAGCAAATCTTTGAATGTGCGCCGAAGGTTTAATGTGAAATGTTCTCAGACAGGCATGATTTTTTGCACGGACCTGGATCGTATTTCCCGTTAATTCATTTTTACTTTTGTTTAAATGGCACCTTCTCGATTTTTACACACTTTTTAAAGGGAACGTCTCAAACCATTGACAATGCAATCAAAGGTCAATTCAGTTAGGTATGGCGATATCCCTGCTGTTATATCATAAACGTCAGTTGGTAATACTAAGAACTTACATCGGAAAAGAGAGCTTTGCATGAGGGAAATGTTTTTTTTATTTCTGTGTTTCTCATCGCCCGCCGACACGAAAATAAAAGGTGTTTTTTTTTCATTTCGAACTCAGGACCAACTAATGCTCATACAATTGGTGACTTCCCGAGGCTGTGCTGGGAACTTCCTGGGGCTGTGCTGGGATGAAGGTTGGACATTCACAAGAAGGTTAATCGCTATATATTAACATTCTGTTATTTATATTCCATTTATTAATACACTATAACATATCCAACAGCAAAAACATTTTAATGCCCGATATGTCTAACATTTGATTCAATTTATGTTGATGTTCTCTGCTGCTTTTAAGTAAATTGGACAAAACTGTGTATATGTGTTAATTCCTGAATACTAAAGGAAACAGAACAGGTGTAATAAAGCAGAATCAAAGTTACAGATGTTTTTGTCTTCTTTTGATGTAGATATGAACAAATCCAAATATATTAATTCATAATTTTTAATATTTTTAACTGACGGACCGATCCAACTTTAGATCAGACCGTCCACGTAAAACACATAAAATAATTGCTCCTTAACATTATTCCAACGTTCAACCAAGTGTTTACTGAAGAGGCTGTGTCGTGTAGTAGGGGTCAATTGTAACAAGGGCGATTACTCTAAAAGTTTTCGCTCAAGCATAGTGTAGGTGAGTAGAGTTATTTCCCTTTACTTTCCTGCGGTACTCATCCAGGCGTTTTTCATCTGCTCGCTTATGGCGAGATACAGTTGACAAAAAAATCGTTTTTCACATAGGTAAGTAAATTTTTCACAATACGTATTAAACCGTTCTTAATGCAGTAAATGGTGTTTGGTATGAAATTAACTTTTCAAGTGTAAAATTTAGATATTACGACATATTTGGAAGTAGAAATATTTGAGAAGCCCAAGGTTGTTAACGTGTGACGTGACATGAAATATGGCTACTGCCATTAGGGGCAATTGTAACACCGTGTTACAATTGCCCCCATGTAATTTCCCCTTGTGTTATGATAATAAAGCAAATTATGATGAAGGTTTTATGTTAGTTCTTTACTAGGTTTATCATAGTAGAACATTTTCAGTTTTATGTTGATAGTATTAGCCTCGGGTGAACGTTTTTGGAGTAAGTCTTTGTATTATTTTTTGGGCATACCAATACATGAATTTTAAACGAAAAACATTTTAAATGTCGGTGGTGATAAAGGTTTATTGTTAATCCATTTCCACCTCAACTGATCAAGATAACGTCTTTCCACATTTTATTTTGATTTTATTTGGAAAATAAACAGATTGTTACATTTGAACCTTCTTTGTTACAATTGCCCCATCCGCCTGTTACAATTGCCCTGTGCTGGGGTCAATTGTAACACTTGCAGTCATTGCATTTGATACGTAATACCTTTGTAACGACATGATAGTGAACTTTAAACGACACTGAGGTTTAAAGCCAAGCCATTGTACTAGTTAGTACCGTTTAACTTTGCGAGCGGTGGTCTGGGATCGAACTACAAGGTGTTAAGTAAAAGTGTTACAATTGACCCCGGTCTCCCCTAAGGTTAAACGACACCCCCCCAAAAAAAACAAAAAAACAAAAACCTAACGTGATTGATATCTCGTATGGGGGAGCGAATGACCGAATACAGTTTAATGCGGTTGTGTACATTATTCCAGACGTTTACCACTAATACACAAACACACACAGACACACACAAACACACACAAACACGGGCATGTTGCGGACGAACCGAGAACCATAATCGGGATAAACCGGGATTCCCGTATACAATCCTAGGTTCCTGGAGAACCTAGGGGACGTAACCCTGCACAGCGGATCGCGGCGTGTTGGGCAATGGTCATCAGTATAATGTAACCCATAGACATGACAGAGAGCAGAGAAATCTCCTTATCATGAAATTCTAAGGACCACGAAAACATATCAGATTATCCGATATACGAGATAAGCAGAGTGGCCATACTAACCTAGCTACAGTATCGATATGGGTTTTGCAAAGATATTGTGGCATTTAGAACGAGATATCGAAATGTTAATGCATCATTCACCCGTTTTAATATACTAGTAGACCTACCTGCTACAAGAGTCACCCACAACTGCGCGCCATATTGGGCTGCCCAACTTCCAAGATGCATCATTCCTACAAGTGCTGTCTGTGTGTCCATCCGGCGGCGCACGGGGAAGAGGAGGAAACTGATGAAGATGACGATTACACTCACGGAGAAGTACTGGAACTGAGTAATCCTGCAAACAAATCAACAGTAACAATAATTTTTTAAAAAAACATAACAACGTTAGTTAACAATATCAAAAATACCACTGCTACTGCTACACTAAGATTCCCTGAAGTAAAATTGGAAACACTAGGCTCAGGATATAAACAACAACATTGAAATGAAAATATTTTAAGAGTCTTGTTTGTCTTTTGAAATGTAACAGAGAGCAACCTAGAGAATATCCTCATACCTTACAAATCCAAAGCTTACATCGTAGTTTTCCAGTTTTTTGTAATTCATGGGGTCTGTGGTATACTATAGAAACAAGGTTAACTTGTCCTTTGATATGAAAAAGGATGGAGTCATTTTCAAACAGAAAAAAAAATAGTCATGCCAAACTTTCAATACTGTTTTTTCAGAGTTTTTATGACAGCCTGTTTATCTGTATATCAAACTGTAATGCCCATGTAGGAAAAGGCAAATTTTATGTGTGAAAAAATATTTTGCTTTCTAAACACCTCCGTAAAAAAATATTTTAAAATTAACTAAAGATATTTGTTTTCAAATAAAATGTAACAGCTAAAGTTGCATCTTGTCAAGAATAAGCTTTGTTAGTATCGTTTGATAAAGTTTCTTTTACCAAATATCTGCTATATATAAACTTTAATAATAGTATTCTACTAGACTAACGACTAGTCTCTGAAATGAACATATTTTACAGAAAAAAAGTTCACAGTTAAAAAAATAAAATGTTATGAAAAGGAGCCCTGAGACTTTCTTCATTTTCTGAAGCTGTGGAAATCTAGACTTGCCACATTTTCTAGATTTGTGTGGGCTTACTTGGATATATTTGCTTCAGGGTCTGTATTATGACAGGGTTGTATTCTACAAGTTTCGGCATAAAATACTCAGAAAGACTTAATAATAATGTTTCAGTCATCGTGAAAAAGGCTTGTACACCAAACAACCACTTTTCTGTCGTGAATAGGCTAATATGTATGTATGAGATTAGCATGTAAAAATATCAGGTCACAGTTTCCAAATAGTTTAACAAAGTGATATATATAATAATTAATTTAAACTATTTTTTATTTCAATTTTTAAAAATAAATTTGCGCACTCGGTTATCAACTTCGTCATACCCAAGGAAGGTTTTGTTGGCGCTATCTGCCACATCACATTACAGACGTGAACTAGATTAACATCTAGTCTGTGAAATATATTTGAGGTAACATGCTGGAATTCAATTATGGAATTACGTCACGTATTGCACTCCCACCAACTGCACCAGTGTTTGGGTGCTGAGAAAACTTTCGTAATGTTTGACAGGTGCTCCACGGAAAATCTGTTTAGCAAATGTGTGTCGGTACTTCATCGATAAGTTCCTTAAAATTATAACACGGCTAACCCGACCTGGAGATGTCCAGTTTCATATTAAAATTTAAATTACATGCCTTAAGAATTTTTAAGTTTTCAGTTTTAAACAGAAAATAGTAAATTAATTAGCATAATAGATCAGGATATAAAACATACCTGACTTTCTCGAACTTGACCATAATGGATATTCTTGATGCGTATTGGATCTTCCGTCCTTTCAGTAGTCTGTCAGAGTACATTGACGTTCCACGTGCTGGTGTATTTATAACGCGCCGATCCAGATCCGGGCTTCTGATTGGCTGACGGGATAACTGGCGTAGCATCTACTAACATTCCCGTCTTCTCTGAACGTGTTGCGGGGCAAGTAGGCAGCATTCATCCTGTACACCGGTTACCTCCCTTGTAACCTTTACAGCGTTTCTTACGTGGAAAATAAGGCGACAGATATAAGTGTGTTACCTCGATTGTGCCTTTCCCCTCCCCTGGGGAGCGTATGAGCATTGTACGTGCTCCGCACCACGTGGTCGCAGCGGAGTACAGGTAGCGCACGACAGCTTGTCTTGTGTGTGGACATGATGCAATACTTACCTGAATCAACCCCTTTCATTGCTTAGTGACACGTTACGAGAATCCAGGTTGCCCAGTGTGAAGCAAGGTGATTTCATTAACAATGTCGCTGTACCACGCACATATTTGCTTTGGCAGAAAATACTTCAATTTAATTAATTTTCTGCGCAAAAAAATATTTATAATGATCGAGCTTGAAATTTAATGGCCCCGTAATAGTTTGTTTACACAGGATGGGCGGTAAGAGGATGTCTCATGTCGTAAGTGTATTTCCGTCGCTTTCACTGCCGTTCCGTCGATTACCGTTCATGTCACCGTGGTCGCAACTGCCTGTGACGTCAACATCGACATCAGTGCGGCGTCTACCATTTTCCGAGTGACACACATGCATTCAGTAAACTGCACTGAAGAAAGACGCATTTGCACGGACTGAACTTTTGTCGTCAACAGATTGATTGTGTAATACCTGACAGCCTTGTTGTAAAATATGACGTCCACTGGCTATTTAGTCCGTTTGCGTAAGTAAGTAAACAAGTATTGACTAGATTTGTAAATAGTCAATGTCACCTTAGTAATTCAGTCGCTGTTGGAGATGAATTTCATGTTTTCCAACAGCCATATAAACTCTTTAAAATTTCTTAAATTGCCGAATATTAAATTTCATTGTAAGAAACATTTGACAGGTAAAGAGTTTACTGATAAAAAAGTCTCTCTAAATGCCTGAATACTGTTTGTAAAACAATAAATACAATTAATTTGTTCAACTTTTTAAATTTTCAGTAGTCCTGTTACCGCTGCTATTTTGAGGTGAGGTGAGGTGAGGTGAGGTGAAATTGGGTTTAACGTTGTGTTTGAGAATATTTCGCTCATATGACGACGTGCATGCGTGTGTATGGGTATGTGCGACTGCTTGTACTAGCCCAGACATAAGCTGGTTTTAAAGTGCTAGCCCACTGAGATACCATGCCGCAGTGAAGCATGAATACCCCACTCAGACACATTATACTGACTCCGAGCCGACCAGTCCTTGTTGTACCCATTAATGCCGAGTGCCAGGCAGGGACCAACAAGTACCATATTTTAACGTCTTTTGGTATGACGCGGTCGGGGATCGAACCCGCGACCTTCTGCTCTCCGGGCGGACGCTCTAACCACTACACCACGGAGGCGGTTGGTGCTATTTTGAACACAATTGTATATTTATGCATCTCATGAACCACCGTATGTGGAATTGAGATTTGAAGAGTCAATTATTCGGTTAGTATTGTATTTGCTGTCATGATAATAATTCTATATCGTCGTCGTCGTCGTCATCATCATCATCATCACCACAGGGATAAACCAGTGGTTGATATAATGAGCAACTTTGTGATACGCTGTCCTAATATATACCAAGCCACAGTACCTGACCGGTCACAACTGGTTGTTGTCTGTTAAAACACTCATAATTTCTCAAGACTTGCCGATTATAAGGGTAGAATTACAACTGATGAATCGGGAGAGCCATGGAGCTCTTGTATTCAACATCTCCCCTACAAACTGCAGCTGTAAGCCGAATTTCTGTTAGAAGCGGTGTTAAACCTCACTCATAGAATCAAAGCGTGCACGTTTAATGCCAATATGAATCTAGTTTGTCTCACAGTCCCCGAACCACATTATTTTCCCTTCCGCCCAGTCAATTCTGCAATGCTTAAGTCCAAAATGAAGCAAGTCTAGATTTCCGCAGGTTCTGAATCTGCCCTATCACTGGGGCTCCTTTTCAATTTAAAATGAATTATTTGTTTCTACCACAATTGTATATTCAGCTACTATGTGTAGTGTTATATTAACCGTTATCAGGGATATCTGTAAAATACTGAAGACATCAAGCCGTCTCCACTTAACACGAGTGTTGAGATGGGAAACAACATGAGCGTTCCCCCAGCTGTGGTAGGCCGTGGGAGGCCACGGTAGAAGGTATACACTGACGGAAGGGTCGGAGATTCCCCTGCATTATGTAACTGGGAGTCTGGGAGGGGAAAACAGTTCCAGCTCAGAACGTGCAGTTCTCGGAGGAGCTGACTTACTGACATTAGCAAGCAGATTCCTCACGGAGCACGGCCCCCCACACACATCCAACAGCGTCAGCGACAATGTAACACCAACATCGGAGATGTGACTCTCCCAGTATGGGGAAGGTGGAACACGGGTATTCGACTCTCTCGGCGCTTACATCACCTTTACATAACGGATTCAGGAAATACACATGCATATCGTTTTCTTGATTCTTTGCACATGCTAACTGTTAATACGGTTCACAATATCATGTCGGATCTGAAAATGTAATGTCGCCTTCAGCTGAAAGGTCAAGGTATGAGTTTATGACTGCGTGCGTGGGTGAGTGGGTGAGTGAATGGGTTGTCCAGTGGCGGATCCAGAGGTGGGTTCAGGGTCCCCCACTCCCCATCTTTGAAAATGACTAAAGACCACACTGAAGTGTATTACTCAATGGCGGAGCCAAGGTGGAGTTCAGGGGTTCGAACCCCCTGAACCCCCCTTGAAAATTCCTGGTTCCGCCTATGTTGTCTTTCCGCTTTTGGCATTATTCCAACAATATCACCACGTGGGACTACAAAATTGGATTCACTCATTGTACTCATGTGGGTAATCGATCCCGTTACTGCGGTGAACGGGCGAACGCTTTAAACACTAGGCTACCCCACCGCCCGAGGTATATTATATGGTCCATGGTTTAAAAATAACACGAGCAATAGCTTTCTAAATTTTAATGAAAATTATGAGCTGTTTTCATGTAAAGGATAATTAATCTTTGTTTATTGAAGCAACAACAATAAATGCATTTATAGGTAGGACTAAAATGTGTCAAATATATTGATGTTAAATGTTTACAGGAAGCGTTTGTGTAATATTATAACCTAAGTTAACACTTGACCCAGCTGATTTTCTTAAACATGTATAGTACCCGTTTTAGTCATATACGTGTAGTTGGTCATGGCCACAATTTGCAAGTGTTTGTCTTACCATGGACGTTGTATGCTGAAGGATGTTGTATCGTTGTAAATTTGTTGAAATATTTAAAATTTCAGAAAACCTCGCGTATAGAGGTGCTAAGTTAATTCAATAGAAATTACGAACATCTTAATTACAATGATGCTTAGTAATCTAGACGATGTAGTTTTGAGCTTTGTGGTAGATAATGCAAGCGATTACATTTTCAACCAGACGTTAACGTGAGAAAATATTGTATCGAATAACTACTGAAACATTCTGTGGAGAGTAAAGGGCAAAATAGTGATGGAAATTAAGCAAATAGATCACTGGAAATTAGGGATGACACCAGGTGTTCCTGCTAAAGGGTACACACGTCCTTCTCGAGTGGAAGCACCCACCAGTCAAACACCTTCGCCAAGCCTTTTTTCCATGTACACCTTCCCTAAGATAACATTTTCCATTTGACATCGTTTAGCTTCCTTGAATAGTCAAGCAAGTAAAATGTCGTTGATATTTTGTGTTATCACGGATGAATATTTTAGTAATGCAAAATTAAAGTAAATCATTTTATCCATGAATTCCTTGAAAATAATCAACTGTTATGTCATATCATTAAGTATGTAGGTATGCTTGTTTTTTTATGGTGTCAATTGGTGTCGATTGGTGTCAATGGTGTCGATTAACCTTTATTAACGTAAATATAAAATTTAGTAACTGCACAGCCATGGCGCATGAGGCATAATGTGTTTGAATGTCTGTCTGTGGTAACACTTCTGACAGTACTGTCGGACATAGTTTGACCAGTGTTTGAATGTCTGTCTGTGGTAACACTTCTGACAGTACTGTCGGACATAGTTTGACCAGTGTTTGAATGTCTGTCTGTGGTAACACTTCTGACAGTACTGTCGGACATAGTTTGACCAGTGTTTGAATGTCTGTCTGTGGTAACACTTCTGACAGTACTGTCGGACATAGTTTGACCAGTGTTTGAATGCCTGTTTATGGCAACACCTCTGACAGAACTGTGATGCATAGAAGTAGATTTGTGTGTATGAAGAGTTTGTTCCAGCCTTTGTTTGTTCTTAGTGCGACCAGTGTTGAATGTATGCCTGTGGTAACACTTCTGAAAACACTATGAGGCATAGTTTGACCAGTGTTTGAATGTATGCCTGTGGTAACACTTCTGAAAACACTATGAGGCATAGTTTGACCAGTGTTTGAATGTATGCCTGTGGTAACACTTCTGAAAACACTATGAGGCATAGTTTGACCAGTGTTGAATGTATGTCTGTGGTAACACTTCTGAAAGCACTATGAGGCATAGTTTGACCAGTGTTTGAATGTATGTCTGTGGTAACACTTCTGAAAACACTATGAGGCATAGTTTGACCAGTGTTTGAATGTATGTCTGTGGTAACACTTCTGAAAACACTATGAGGCATAGTTTGACCAGTGTTTGAATGTATGCCTGTGGTAACACTTCTGAAAACACTATGAGGCATAGTTTGACCAGTGTTTGAATGTATGCCTGTGGTAACACTTCTGAAAACACTATGAGGCATAGTTTGACCAGTGTTTGAATGTATGCCTGTGGTAACACTTCTGAAAACACTATGAGGCATAGTTGACCAGTGTTTGAATGTATGCCTGTGGTAACACTTCTGAAAACACTATGAGGCATAGTTTGACCAGTGTTTGAATGTATGTCTGTGGTAACACTTCTTGAAAACACTATGAGGCATAGTTTGACTATGAGGCATAGTTTGAAGTGTTTGAATGTATGCCTGTGGTAACACTTCTGAAAACACTATGAGGCATAGTGTTTGACCAGTGTTTGAATGTATGTCTGTGGTAACACTTCTGAAAACACTATGAGGCATAGTGTGACCAGTGTTTGAATGTATGCCTGTGGTAACACTTCTGAAAACACTATGAGTTTGACCAGTGTTTGAATGTATGCCTGTGGTAACACTTCTGAAAACACTATGAGCATGTTTGACCAGTGTTTGAATGTATGCCTGTGGTAACACTTCTGAAAACACTATGAGGCATAGTTTG